ACTCCCTACTCCAAACCTATTAAGTAGGTATTATAAAAAATTCAATTTCAAAGAAATATAAAATTTGACCAAGGTCACCCAGCTTATAAGAGGTGAGGCCACAATTCTTAAGCAGGTCTGTTTAGATTTTATACATGTACCTTTTCCCTATCATATATTCTAATACCTAACATGTTAATAAATTGCTTCTATTTAAATAGTACATGCTCCCAAAAAAGTTTCCTAATCCAAGCTTATTGGTTAAACAAAATATGAAGGAGGCAGAGGAAAAAATTAACTTCGTGTGGATCACAGAAGTGTAATTCATTTCCAGCATTTGTCTCACCCTGTAATGTTTGGAATTCTGGCATATAAATCAATGACAGTGGAAATAGTTTTATTTTGCAAAAGAACGAATTGTTTAAATTAGGGGTGTCGAACTCAATCAGAGAAGGGGCCAAAATCTAAAATCCAGCCTAAATCGCGGGCCGAATGGTTTACTGAACAGTCATAAACTGTCATTGTGATGGAAACGCAGCAGAGTGCAGTGATGACAGCGCGGTGCGGGCCACATTGCAAGGCCTGGCGGGACGGATTTGGCCCGCGGGCCTTGTGTTTGACACATGTGGTTTAAATAGTTATATTCTTCCTAGTTTTCAAAGCACACTTTCATTTATTTTTTATTTCATTTTTACTCAATCTCATGAGATTGTTAGAAACTCGTATTACAATGAAAAAATGATGGTTAAGTGACTTTCCATGGTTACATGACTTGCCAAAGGCCACATGGTTTGTAAGGGAAAGGATCAGGATTCATGTCGAGTTGCTCAAGCCAAATCTTCCTTTTGTCTACCAAACAGGTAGAAATCTGCCTTGAGAGAAGTGGGAACCTGAAGTCGGGAATCCGCCCCAGAGGGGTGATTACCAGGGAACCGCCACGCCATCTTTCTTTGCCCTCCCCCGCAGTCTTTGTGGGGAAGATCTTCACGGCATCCACCGTCCCCAGGAACACAGGTAGAACGTTACATTGACGACTTCCTCCCCCAAGGAGATTTGCCTGACACACTTGTGGACACATCCAACATCTATTAGTCTTTTTAGGTTCTGGTGGCAACATGGTCTTTATTGACAAATTTTGCTTCCAAATTGAAAACAATATGCACTCGGGTCAGTGTCCTCAGCATGGCTTCACTCTTGAAGCTTTGGCAGGCTCCTCTCTGGCCACCTGGAGCCTCGGGTCCACTTATTACAGCCATATGTTGCCCAAGGACATTTAATGCAAGAAGCTGCTCCTTTTGACCTCACACTGTACACCATTAAAACAAACGACTGGCTACCTACCTCAGTCCCTTGCCGTATGTCATGGTATCGCAGGAGTCACTCCTCCCACAGATCCTATTGGCTACCTATTGGCCCTTCCTCCATGACCCTTTATTTAAAGAGGGCTATGTCTTGCCTCCCTGTAAATACTTATTATACACTATGAGGCCATTTAATATGTCTATTCTTATATTTATAAAATGATTATCTAGCCCCAAATACACCTGTAAGGCAAGATGTCTGGAGGTAGATGGTTCCAATCTAGGCTAACCAAGCAGCTCGACACTGTCTTTATGTATCCAAACTTTTTTGTCTTTTGTTTTTGTCCTTAGGCTTGGTTGTTAAGATGGCTACAGTATCACCTTTCCCCAAAACCTGTGTCCAAAGACAGGGAAAAGAGGAGTTTCTTCTTGTAAAACTCCTTATTGGGGAGTAAAACCTTTCCCAGAAACCTTTAAGTAGACTTCCCTGTGTGTTATTTACCAGCATTGGGTCACATGTCTGGCAAACAGAATAACTAGTCATCAAAGATGTCCACATCCTCATCCCCAGAACCTGTGAGTATGTGACGTATGTGGCCAAAGGGACTGGGCAGATGTGATTAAGGATATGGGGATGGGAAAAAGTATCCTAGGTTATCCGGTGGACTCAACATAATCACACGGGTACTCAGAGAAGCAGAAGGGCTCAAGTCCTTTAAGTATTGGAACTGACACCACAAATCCACCTCTTTTTAAATGTTTGCACAATATAGTTCGAGTGCCATCTCAAGTATGTGGGAAGTCAGTAACTCCCTCTAAGGAAAGTTCATACGAGTTTCTGGGAGCTGTGGAAACCAATGAAAGCCACCCAAATGAGAATAGGGAGGCTATTTACTCAGAGCTTACTAGAGCAAGGAGTCAGTCACCATCACAGGCATCTGGCAGACACTCAAAGGCAGGCAGGGGAGTGCAGACATTATTTAGAGTGAGAAAGGAATGATCCACATGTGCAGTTTTTTTTTAATTTCTTTATTGATTAAGGTATTACATGTGTCTTCACCCTCCCCCCATTACTCCCCACCTCCCATTCATGCCCCCAACCCCTGTTGTCTGTGTCCGTTGATTAGGCTTATATGTATGCAAGTCCTTTTGTTGATCTCTCCCCTTTACCCCCACTGTCCTCTACCTTCCCTGAGGTTTGAGGTTGTGATTGATATTTCTGTCTCTGGATCTATTTTTGTTCATCAGTTTATGTTGTTCATTATATTCCACAAATGATTGAGATCATGTGATATTTATCTTTCTCTGCCTGGCTTATTTCACTTAGCGCACATGTACTGTGTTTGAAAGGTTGTGCACTGGGAAACTGAAGGCGATTGAAAATTCGAAGGAATTCCCAAGTAATAAACCCAGGGAGGAGTGTTTTGTCTGCTGCTAATGATTTACTCATTCTAAGTGTGGTGATCACTGTCAACTTCAAGGAAAGACCAAATATAAGGAAGTGTGAGACCACTGCTAATGGAGACCATTAGTAGCATTAATAGCACAATGGTAAATGTTATAGAAAACATCTTTCAGCATTCCAGGTTAGCCAGGACAATCAAAGACACTGCAGCAATCTGTGGTGAAAAACCACTGTTAAAGTTCTTAAAGCAGTTTTCTTGCCCTAAATTTCATAAGCAGAAAGGACAACCTCAGGTATGTATGAATTTGGTAGTTTTCATAATCATAAGCTTGGAGTAGACAATCATATCCTGAGCAAAATATGCCTACTATGAAGATCACTGGTAAATTGTACTATATTAGAATTAAGCGCTTTTTTTCATCAACTACATTCTCACAACATAATACATTCAACAAAGAACTTGTATCCAGAATAAATATATTTTTCAAAACCAACAAGTTAATAAAGACAGTCCACCCAATAGAAAAATGGGAACGAAGTTGAACAGATATTTCACAAGAGGACACTTAAAGACCAGTAAGCATATATGAAAAGTACTCAATCTTGTTAATAATCAGTGTAATGAAAATAAAGCCACACTGAAATACTGCTACATGCCTGCTAGGAAAAAAATGGAAAAGACACCATTCAGTGTAGGCAGAAATACAGGACAATTGGAACTTGGGAAACTGGCTAGAAGCATCCAGCAAAGCTGAAATATTATATGTCCTGTGACTCTGCAATTTCACCCGTAGGCAGACATGCATACCAGAATTCATGTGCAAGAATATTTGAAGCAATACCACTAATAATTGTTCACAAACTGGGAATGAACCAAACATCCATCAAATAAGTAATGTGGTTTATTCATGCAGTGGAGTATTATACAGCCATGAGAATGAACCATGAACATATACATACAATAAAAAATCTCACAATGTTAATAAGCCAAATACAAAATACATACTGTTTAATTTGTGTAATTTCCCAAACCAGACAAAACTCATCTGTGCTCTTAGAAAGAAAAAGAGTGGTTCCCTTGGGGAGGTAATAACTAGAGAGGGACAGGAGGGGCTTCCCAGGTATGGGCAATATTGTTTGTTGATCTGGCTACAGGCAGTATTCATGTTTCATTTGTGAAAAATCAGTTACACTTCAACAAAGTTAGAACAAAATGATCTGCGTCGGCCGGCCTGCACAAGCAGCTGAGTGAAGAAATGACTCCTTCTCTTGGCCTCTCCCCTTGGCTACACTCTCACCTCCTGCCAGTCCCTATGGTGAGGGTGGAAGAGAAGCACCCCCTCACTGGCTAGCATATGGACCAAACTAGATAAGCAATGGGCTGAGGTCTACCAAACTTGAATCTGCCTTCCTGCCTGTTGATCACTCACTTTCTCCCCTCGTCTCCTAGTTCTCCTAGTGCCTAAATGTCCCCGCTCTCTGCCCCAAAGCCTCACTCGGTAGTAACTGTTCCTCTCAGGGAACACTTAAATAAGTTTATAAGTTTTGAACAAAAGGGATGGAGTGTCTCAATAGTTGCAGGATGGATGGGCAAGGAGCCATTTGAGCCTTTTTAACACCCCTGGTGGAATAGAACATGCAATGGAAACGCAGGCCTGATTGGGGTTTGTGGGATGTTCCAATCTTGGCTCTGCTTTGGGCAAGTCTGTATCCCCTCTGTGCCTGTTTCCTCACCAAAATCAACTGTGCCCTCTCCTTACCTCAGGCAGTTGTCGTAAGGATTAACTGAGTTCCATACAAGATAGAAAGTAACTGACATAAGATAGGTGCTTCATGTTAGCTGACTTTACCCAAGGTTTGCTATCCCCAGGGAATTAGGGCCCAGGAGCTCAGGGAGCAGAGGGCTTCGGGACTGACCGTAAGTCTCCCCAGGCAAATCCGGGTGTCCCACACTTGTTTGTGATTGCAGTGAGGAGCAGAGGAGGAACTGAGGACACAAGGTGGAGGAGGTGGCCGTCTCTAGCCGCATATATATCTATAAATATGTTTATCGTTAAATAAATAAGTGTAGCACCCATTGCATCTGTTATCTTCAAATAATCAGGAATGTTGCTGTCTGAGGGTAGAAAATGAAGACAATTCTTATGAGGTGTGCTGTATTTTATAGAACAGCAATTAGGGAGGTGAGGACATCGTACACCCATGCTTACTAGTGACCAAAGGGCCATAAACGCCACGAGCATTTTCGTACTTTATTTACACAGCCCTGGCCCTGGATCTGGCTTTAAAAACAAAAAAACAAAAAACAAGCAAACAAAAAAAAAAAACCAGAGAGGGGAGCAGTGACTGGTTCATGATACATCAAAGCCTGAGGTAGACAACAAAAAGTCCTTTTATCAATAGTGAAAAATAATGTTCTACCGAATATTCACAAGAATATTCACACTGGCATTTTCTCACACCTATGCAAGCCCAATCTTCGTTAGAAGAGTACTTGAAGATATATCAAAATAACATAATGGCAATACGCTATGAAGCCGAAGAATAAATTCCCAAAAGAGCTAATGGGACTGGAGATCTGGACATCTGATAGCTGACGCTTTTTCTGCCTCTCCAGTGACAATCAATATCGCACCTCTCCTCAAAGCCCGTCTCCCAGTGTGAACCTCTTTTCTGAGGCCCTATCGATGCTATTAACACAAATGTAGACCACAATCCCATTTCCTCAATTTCCAAGTTTAGGGAAGGGATAAGCCAGGAAACTGTGCTGATAATCACAAGGATTCGTTAACAGAGGTCAATCTCCAAATCAATGCAGGCACATTTCTCTGGGAGTCACACTAGAACCAGAAGCTGGTAGACAGAGAAGCAGTTACTACCCCAGGCTTCGTGCTGTCTGTAGGTTAGACACCGCCCCTTGGAATGCAGCTGGGATTGCCATCTCTCCCCGAACACTATATAGAACTAGTAGTGCTTTTCCTTAGGCATATTCTGTTCTAGGCCAACGAATTCACATTGTGCATTCTTGGTTATACCATACTCCAGCCATGTTCCTAAAGCAGTCCTTCCAACCTCAGGTTGTGTTCTTTCCACAAATGGCTGATTGCCCCTCACTTCTACTTTAATCTTCAGAGAACAAACTGAATGGCAGGTCTGGGAGTACCCTTCAGTCATTCCCATGAACCACTTACATCACTGATCTAACATTAGAAAGACATATGCCTCAATTTCCTAATGGTTACAAGTCTTTAATGGAAAACCACCAAATATTTAGACTGCAGGTGTATTTGGGGTGGGGGTGGAGGTCCTATCAGCTTTTGCCTTGGTGATGGTGGGCAGGGGCCATCTTTTCCTAATACAGGACACCACCCAGACACTTAATTGCAGCAAGGGGACATTGGGGAGTGGAGAAAAGTGCAAAGAAGGTAATGGAGCCAACAAAGCTCAAAGGAAAGGGCAACTCCACATCCTCAGGTGAGACTGTGCCTCTCCTGCACACGCAGCAGCTCACTCAGACCCCAGGGCCCTGCTCCACCCACTCCGGGGCTCTTCCGTTCCTTCCTACCCCCCGCCCTGGACCTTCCTTCTCTCTCTGCTCTATTACCAACAACTGCTCCATCCTGTAGGTGATTCTTCTTTTCTCCAAGTTATCCATGGAGTGGAAAGAGCAGCAGGAGGCTTATTATTTGCTTAGACTTAACTAAGACCATTAAATGAACGACAGGAAATAATAACAAAGCTTTTCAGTTCTATTGAACTTTCCTAATACTCTCTGGTATTTCCTCCAGAGCTAAAGTAAACGTGGATATGCAGTATTAAGAGCTCACCATCTCCCTCTCTTCAGCACCATTACAAAAACCTTAGCTAGCTAACAGCAGCCACCATAATCAAAAATACTGTTATTTATTTCCCCAAGTGACTCATGTCAATCACCACCAAGGCAAATAGTAAACTGGTAACAGTTTGATGATTGACAGACTGCAGAAGAAACAGAAATTAGCTAATTCATGTTTCTTACTAAAAGATTTGCTACTCCAATACCATAAACAATAGCATATATGAACAAATTGAGAACTACACTTTTTAAACAAGTACTCGGGATTATTAGAGAAATAGTCTTTTGAACATGCTTTAAAGAAATTATTTATGAAAGGGATATGCAGTAGATGCTCTGCTTTGTTCTTTTCTAGTTTTTACTACATTTAAAAATTGGCAAGTTTTCTCAATTGTGATGTGACACTATTTAGGACAACAGTTCACCTGGCAGAATTTTGGAAAAGAAGTCAAGCAAGAAGCCAGAGCTCATGATTGTAATGGTTTTGAAGTAGCAAATGCAAATTCTGAATGGTGATGAGATGCTGGATCCTACTATGCAAAATACAACATTGTAATTGAGGGGTAGATACTGCTGCTTTTTTCTGGGCCGAAAGGAGTAACGGATTTATAGCATATAGCACTATAACCTAGATCATCACGGGAGAATGAATCTGAAGTTGGTCGGCTTTTTTTAGACACATCCTACAATTGCAGTTCCACATTTTAATCTGAGGATAATGTGCAATTGGTTTACATGGGCATGCTTTCATTATATCTTGAGAGAAAACATCGATGGCATTTTTGTTCAATGAAGAAAGGTAAATCTAATTATATTCTCGATACCTAGAAACATTAATCGGCAGGAATTTCTTCAGAGAAAAGCCTCAAGATCTAAAGCAGTTTTGTGCTAGCATCCAAAATGTTCTATCCAGTTCCAGAAATGTATCAGATTAGCAAATAAAATAGCTACTATTTGTAATGAAATGTAGTAAGTGGCTAAAATTCTAGGTTAATAACTATTAGGACCATTTAAAATTTAGTTTATAACTTTAGCGATACCTACTGAACACTTCTTACATTCAATTGTATAGATATGCAATTCACTTAATCTTGAAAAACACTATGTAAAACTATAGAAATGAGTTGCAAACTATTATACTCCCTTGCAAACTATTATACTCCCTTATCAATTCTACAACTGCAATAAATTTAATACTGTAAGCAGACTGAACAAATCAGATCACTGTGGAAAGAATTCGGCAACTTTAACAAGTCATATTGTAATTTTTATGAGCTAAGAGTAGAGGCAAATGGAATTCTTAGAACATTAAAAATAGATTTTAAAGACAAAGGTCCCAACTTATTCTTATATACACACACAAAAGTTCATCTGTCACAGACAGCAAATATCGAATGTATACACTGGAGTTTCCAGCACCATCCTGTACATTTAAAATAATTAAAATAAACAGAAAGTTGACAAATTTATCTAAGGTGGATCATTCAAATCTGTGTAAGATGAAATACAGCTGTTCTGGTGCTCACTGCTGCTTCTCAAATGCAAAAACCAAGTAAATACCTAAAAAAATAAATAAATAAAAATAAAGTTACAGTTTGCTTCATCAAATCCTCAGGGAAAACAAAACAATCTCAATCCTATTTATAATTTGGTAAAAATTCTTAGGCCTTCAAGCAGCTTTTAATTAGTCATTTAAAAAGCAGATAAGGGGTTATATATGATGTTTACTTGACAACAAATGTCAGTATACACAGTGATATCATAGCCCCCGAGAAGACCAATTCAAAGGCTTTAAAAATCTCTAAAGTTTAAGAAAATTTAAGAATATAAAAGCAAAGAAAATTAAAAGTAAAAAAATCTTAGGACTAATTTTATTTTTTATCCAGAGCAATATAACGAATATATTGCTCTGGATAAAAAATAAAATTAGTCCTAAGATATATACACACACACACACACACACACACACACACACACACATATATATATATATCTCCTGTCTAATAAGGAGGTAATATGCAAATTGACCATCATTCCAACACACAAGATGGCTGCCCCCATGTGGACATAAGATAGCCGCCACAAGATGGTCTGCAAGAGAAGGCAATTAGGGGAGACCAGGCCTGCAGGGGAGGGCAGTTCAGGGCGACCAGACCTGCAGGGAAGGGCAGTTAGGCACTGATCAGGCTGGCAGGGGAGTATTTAGGGGGTGATCAGGTTGGCAGGCAGAAGCAGTTATGGGCAATCAGGCAGGCAGGCAGGCATGTGAGTGGTTGGGAGCCAGCAGTCCAGGATTGTGAGAGGGTTCCCAGATTGGAGAGGGTACAGGCTGGGCTGAGGGACACACACACACCCACCCACCCACCCACTCACCCCCTGTGCATGAATTTCATACACTGCCCCCCATATATATATATATATATATATATATATATATATATATATATATAATTTTATTCAGAAGAATGATAAGGAATATATAACATGCATGTTAAAATTCTAATAACTGAATTGGCTGGTAAGGAAAGTGAGCCAAAGGTTACATGATAATCAATGCTTAAAGGTATTAATCTAGCCCCAACAGTGATACTCCTCCATGAATCCAGCCCCAAGGGCACTCTCTTAAATAAAACTTATTACTTTACTGAGTATTCACCAAAGACATCTAAATGCATCTAAAAATAACATTCTGCATATATTTTCTTTTGACACTAAACAGCTGTGCAAAACAGGGAATTGGACATAAGTAAGAATTTTTTCTATAATTAAATATATACACAACCTAATATGTGTCAGAAAAATTCTCAATTTCATATTTTAATGATCACTTTAAAACAATCTTTGAAAATATCAGTAAACGTATACTGATGATATACTCACTTGTAGCTTCCCATTCTGATTTACTTAAGGTTCCCTAAAATTACAAAAAAAAAAAAAAAAAAAAATTTTCAGATTGAATATGGAAGTACAGCTGATCTTTGAACAACACAGGTGTGAACTGCATATGTCTACTTATATGTGAAAATTTTTTAATAAATGCCAATTTATTTTCCTTATGCTTTTAAGAACATCCCCTTTTCTCTAGTTTACTTTAATACATTTAACATATAAAATACGCATTAATTAACTATCTCTGTTATCGGTAAGGCTATCAGTGAAATTGGGAGGGGGATCAAGCATTACACATGGATTTTCAACTGTACAAGCGGTCAGTGCCGCTGACCCCATGTTGCTCAAGGGCCAGCTGTGTGTGCACACATAGTCCAAACACTATCTTTGCTATAAATATACACACAAATTACTATAAATATTACTGTGACCTGAACATTTAAAATAAATCGTAACCTTTAACACCACCCTCTCAACACTTTTGTCCTCCTGCCAAATTCTCTTAACCACTACTTCTCAACTGAAGGGTGAATTTGCGTAAAGAGGGTATTTGTGTGTGTGTAATTGAAAAAAGCATCTATCTTGTAGGGAAACAAAAAAATCAAAATGCCTATCTCAAAACATCAAATACAGAAAGAAATAAAATTTTTATGTTTTTACAAAGAAATCACCAAATGAAGCACATATTATACAGAGGAATTGAATTATATTTAAAATAGTTATCGAAATATTAAAAACATTTTGATATAGTAATGAAATGGCTAATAAGATATAGTAGCAACTAATGTAATTTTGAAGAATTAATGAAAGTAAACAATATTCTAAGATGCCAGCAGAAATGTTATGCAAATATACATAATTTCTATTAATGACAAAGTCACAGCTACAAATAATACAACTGTTATTGTTGTGTTCATAATAGGAGAAAATGTAAACTTCATGTAGAAGTCAGTGAAAATGAAAATGTAATTTTTCACCATCTGTTCATGAGCCCTGAATTTTATCTATGGAACACATTAGATAATAGCACCTAGGTTAAGATATAATGATATAGCAAGAAAACTCAAACCAAGCCTCTTAACATTTTCCCCATCTTTACTGCTTCATAGATAGCACTCCATTCTCAGTACATTTTATTCCCCAGTCTATGGTTAAAAAAGTCATCATAACTTAAGGGAAACAGGTTAATGTGTATATGATTTATAACTCAATAAACCCATGTTCTATATACCAATGAGATAATTTCCTAAGTTTCCATATGTACTTTTTTTCATTTTTTATTTTTTTTATTTTTTTAGAAAATAAGTTAAAATTTGAAAACTTACCAAAGGTAATCTTACTTGACTATTTTTTATGTACTGTGCTGCATGTTCATAGTCATCTGCCTTTTCAGAAGCAAGTTTGGAATTCCCATTTGCAGGATATGCCTAGGGAAGCAAGTCAAACTCCTTGTTAAGATATCTCATGAAATTTACAATGCAGAAATTTACAAACATACTAAATCACCGAAATAAAATAATTAACACAATAATTCCCAAGTATTACTTCAGGAAGACAAACTACATATACTTGTGAAATATATATATATATATATATATATATCTCCTATATAATAAAAGACTATTATGCAAATAGGCCCAACAGTGGTATGACATGCACTGACCACCAGGGGGCAGAAGCTCAACACAGGAGCTGCCCCCCATGGTCAGTGTGCTCCCACAGGTAATGCCACTCAGGCAGAAGCCAGGCTCAGCTAGAAGCCTCTCCTGCCTCCACAGCAGTGCTAAGGATATCTGACTGACGGTTTAGGCCCACTCCCCGCTGCTCCCAGACTGCGAGAGGGTGTAGACTGGGCTGAGGAACACCCAACTCCCTGTGTGCACAAATTTCCTGCACTGAGCCTTTTTATACACACACACAGAGTGGCAGGCAGCAGCTGTTATAGTGCACTTGATCATAATCAGAATATTTGAAGTTGGACTAAATTATATCATTTAATCACCACTAAGGATCATGTAGCAGCAAACACTTGCAGTTCCCTGACTCTCAGTCAAAGGCTTTTTCTGTTACAACACAAAGCTGAAGAAAGATATTATCAAATGACCTAAATGTTAATTTGAGCATTATAGCTATTGAATAGCCACAGAAGGCATGAACAGCAATTAGAAACAATACAAATGAAAAACTCTAGTCAACAGAGAACCCAGTGAGTTTAACAAGATAAGGAAAATAATCTAGCCTCCAAATTATATGTAATCTCCACATTCTCATAAGAATCTGAAGAAGGGTCAACAAAACAAACAAAAAAAGTGTGTATGTGTAAGAGTATTTTGGCCAAATGTCTATTCAAAGTACCCCAAGCACTATTTATAGGGCATTTTTACAAAAATGCTCCCTGACTATGATCAGTAATAAAATACATATGGAAAACTAATTAATTAATGGCTGTCCACTGTGTTTAAAGCTTATATAGACTACCTTCACTACTGCATTAGGGGAAGCAGAGAAGTCCAGGAGTTAAAGCAGGTCTCAGGAGCAATATAGGCTAAAGATTGAAATCTTGCTAACTTGTCTCGCACCCTGCCTAGGAAGGTTTTAAATTATTGTTTAGCAAAAGGGCATTAGGGTAAAGAAGTGGTTCTCACCTGGGGGTGATTTTGAACCCCAAGGGATATTAGGCAATGACTAGAGACATTTTTGGCTGTCACAGCTGGGACAGGAGTGCTACTGACATCTAGGGATATTTTTGAACATGCTACAGTGCACTGAATAGTCCCTAAAACAAACAATTATCCAGCCAAAATTCCAATAGTCCTGAGGATGAAAAATGTTATTTTAAAGAATTACTATCTAAAAAATAAAATTTGATGACAGCATCACTCATTCATTCATTGAGCACTTAACCTGGAAAGTTTCTGTGCCAAGCTCTGTTCTAGATGCTGAAGGGTCTAGAGTAGTTATAAATAATCTGTGTAATATATCAATATTAAGTGTTTACATGGAATCTCAGAAACAGCCATTGCTTTCAAAATACTTACCTCCAGGGCCTGCATTCGTTTTAACAGCATTTTATTTTCACTATTCTTAATCTTTTCTTCATAGAATTCCCGAAATGTCTTTTTGTAGATGAGTTTCATATTGTACTTCTTCACCATTCTGTCCAAAACAATATTACATAATGAAAGGGCTTCTAAAATATTTGTAATATCTCAACAGCTTACTTTCACACAATAGTGACATCTTCTAAACGTAACTAAAAAAACTACCATATTTCCTTCATATATTCACAATAAAATGATGCAAAATAAAAGCTGAGCAATATACCATTGACCATGTCTATAAAAAAATGTCTTCCAAATCTCAGTGGGTCACAGGGAACTCTCTATTAATACAACAAATGGGTCAGGAACAAAAATGAAAGACTGTGTGATGGGAATGACCTATAAGAACACTTTTCTATAGAATCCATTTTACTTAATTTTATTTCTACAGAATCCTCACAGCAGTATTGAAAACAGCTGCCAACTTCCTTCTTAAAATAGTCATCCTCTTTTGGGTTCTGTAGAAAGTTGTAGACACTATTAATTTTTATCTTACATAATGGGTTGCTTGTTTGTTTCACAGGTTTCTTTTACCCAAGTTTAGTTGTTAAAGAGTTTGGCTAAGAGCCTTTACTCATTTTCACTCCCCTGATTTTACCCAGCACAGTTATCAGTGCTCAGCTCTCTCTTCTGTTCTACTCATTTACCCCACTGCTTACTACAAATTTCCACCAAGATCTGGCATAGGCATTCTCTAATTTCCCATGTCCAAGGCTGACTCCCACTAGACTCTTTCTCTGCCAATCTTTGCTATTTCAGTAAATTTCTTTAATGATTCATGCCAGAAGTACTGAGAGTTCTCTATACCATCACCCTCTGTCCATTGCCCACTCCATCCTATATAATAAAAGCCTAAAATGCTAAATGTTCAACCAATCAAAGCGTAACATGCTAATGATATGCTAAGGCCACTCAACAACTTGCTAGATGTGCACTAACCACCATGGCAACCTAGCACTGACTTCTGGTCTGGTCAAGCTTCGGTCGTTACACCCTGGCTCTTTATTATAGAGATTGCCTTTGAGACATAGGAGATTTCAGAGCCATAGTGAAATAGGAAACAATTTTTAATACCCATTCCAATAAAAAGAAGGATTCATTTGATAACACCAAATTACTAGTAGTTATTTAAAAAAAACAAACTTTTGCTATTTGTAATGTCAGGTATTTTTGCCAGAAGTTGAAGGTAATAGACTCCCTTTCTTAACTATAAGATAAAATAATTATAGGAATAAAAGAAAGCTAAGCAAGGCTGTAAGAGACCAATGGCACAACTGTGGTTTGAGGGTTTTGTTTTTTAAAACAAGGCTATATTTTTTCTTTGGGAATCCTATAGAGAACTGTCTAGAAATACAGATTTCCCCTTCCCCTTTTTCCTCTCGGAAGGCAAAAGAGAATAATAACAAATAAATGACATTCTTACTCAGTTAGCAATGGAAAATAGACCAAGAATTCAGGGACATCCACAACGCCTTCCAAGTTGAAGTCATACTTGCAGCCAAATAAAGGATAATCTCCTTTCTTCTGAAATTTTACAGTATATATTTCATTTCCAAATGATTCTGTTTCTGAAGCTTCAAGGCGTCTTCTGTTTTTCCCAAACCAAAATAAAAAAGATTAAAATTGTTATTAGTTCAGATTTATTCTGATCAGATTATGCACACACACACACACACACACACACACCAAAAAACAAACAAACAAACAAACAAAAAACAACAATAAAAAAAACCCACACATACACAGCATGATGCAATTTTAAAAAGACAATCAATTAGCTTTTTTGGGTTAATCCTCACTGGGATATTTTTTATTATTATTTATTTATTACAGAGAATGGGAAGAAGGGAGAGAGAGAGAGAGAAACATTAATATGAGAGACACATTGACTGGCTGCCTCCTGCACACATCTTGACCATAGCCATGGATAGAACCTGCAACCCAGTATGCGCCTTTGACCCTTCCACTTGTGGGCCAGCACTGAACCACACTGGTCAGGGCTGATGAGCTTTTTAATAGAATTTTAGCTACCTTAAAGACATAATGTACTAGAAGTTCACTAATTATCACACTAATAATAAAATTAAGGTAGAGGGTAAAGCTCATTATCATTACAGTTAATTCTCTGTGCCTTGGAATCTGATGTGCAGCTTGTCTAGCACTATAACCTTTGGCTCGATGTAACGTAAGCCTTGAGTATCTATTCAAATAAATTACCAAAATGTTTATCAATTTTATGATAAATATGGTATGTTTTATAAAAGCTCTCTGATAAACATTGCTACTTTAAAATAAGCTTAATACTGAGTCTATTGTAAACCACAACATATTTAAAAGTACTTACATCAATTCAAAGCTATTGGGAGTGGTACCAATAAAATAGCCTCCAGGGCTAAGTCTCTCACAAGCATTTCTAAGCATCATGTCAGCCTGATCATAGGACTCAAATGAGTAATGACAAACAAACTGACAACTGCAGATGTCAAAATGCATTTCTGGGTCACGAAATTTGTCAATCAAAAGTTCCTAAAGCAAAAGAAAAAAGAGTAAATATATTAGAGTCCAACATATTTTTTTTTTTTTTTAGCAATTAATCTCTAAAATCAGCGTTCTTAAAATAAAAGTAGACATGCCCTTCAACTGACCTATCCTTTCTCTCATGTATAATGAAGATCATAATGAAATCGTATTTTCATTCTTGCTCAGTAGAAATTTGATTCCCATTTTCATAGCAATTTTTAAAAAGTAGGGATTCTGAAATCATGTTAAAATGTATCAATCAAATAAGACATGTAAAAGAGTTGATCCTTTTATTTGGCTTTACTTGAAAATAACACTGAACAATAACTTGGGTTAAAAAATTTCCCCCCCAAAAAAAATTCCCCGAAAAAAAAAATTCCCCGAAGCTGGCCTTATAGACGTTTAAAAAAAAAATACACTAATGTTTTTAAAGGTTTCCAACATTCTAGCAGTATACTATAATACCACTTTTCCTCTCACTTTCAAAACTGCTAACAACACATGTCGGATGATTAAGGATATCTCTGATAGCTTACTGAGCTAATAAGACAAAGAACAGACTTTCTCCACTCAAGTGTCTCTGTAGTTTTACATTTCATAGCTGTTAAGCAATTCAGAAACAGATAGAAGGTGAAAAAGAAAAACAGACTATAATATATTGGGAAACTACCCTCATAAATTACAAAGTGAACAAAACAATTCAGTTCTATTTCAAAACACTGGAAAATAAATCTTGCTCAAATGGGAAAGCAACAAGTGATTTCAAAAGTTCAAATGATTAAAAACAAAAAATTCTCAGTGGATCATTAAAAAAATTGATCATGATAGAATTTCTAGTTGAAATGGAAAATGTGTCATAAGGATTTTTAATGTTGCAAAACACACTTTATATATATATATATATATTTTTTTTATTGATATTTTACAGAGGAAGGGAGAGGGAGAGAGTCAGAAACGTTGATGAGAGAGAACATCGATCAGCTGCCTCTTGCACACCACCTACTGGGGATGTGCCCGCAACCAATGTATTGATACATGCCCTTGACCGGAATCGAACCTGGGACCTTTCAGTCTGCAGACCAATGCTCTATCCACTGAACCAAACCGGTTTCAGCCAAAACACACTTTTTTTAAAAAGCTAATTTTTAAAACAAATTATTTACCCAAATTGAATATGTAAAAAATAGACAAAATTTTTAAAAACCTTGTACCTTAGAACAATCAGCGGTTATAAATTCTGCATTGAAAATATACTCATTATCCCGACGATTTTTCATGTCCTCATACCGCTGCTGACACTGTTTGACAGAAACATCAGCAATATCTAGAAGGGGAAAGGATGTTATCATAGTAACGGTCAACAAAGATGCAGAGAGAAGCTGTAAAGCAAAGATGGCACAAATCCATACATTAACCTCAACAGATAAACTTCCACATGAAATCTAGCCTTAGTACAAGCAAAATAAGTCCTATTTCCTTCCAAACAAAAGAGAAGTCTTTGTTCCTATAATTTTTCAAAAGACATTTAAAATTCTATAATGATTTTTAAATGCTTATTCAAAGTTAAAAACAGAAAGTTTAGATTCCAATTTCAATTATAAAACCTAACACTGTATGCCCAGTTTTGAAAATACTGAATTTATATTTTTTTAATAAAATATTATTTGCCCTTTTCTGTGTTGAAATTTGCACTGATGAAGCAAAAGCAATAGTGGATAAAATGGTGGCACCTTATTAATGAATACAAGGTAATGGCACTAAATGTATTGCTAATACTTATATTCTTCAGCACTATAAAACTAGCATGGGTGAAAAAGTCAGTTTCACGTAAGAATATCCTTGATAAAGCAGTAAAAATAAATTTTATTAAATCTTGGCTTTTGAACACATCTTTTTAATATTCTACGTGATGAAATGGAAAATAAAAAAAATTTCTACTATATAACAAAAGTATAAACAGGACTGGTGTGACTGTGTTATGAGCTGACTGGCCAATTTTTTCATAGAAAATTATATTCACTTGAAAGAACCACTGACAAAGCGGTTATTCAGACATGGTAATATAGCAGTTATTATCTTGAAAATGAACAAAGTGAGCTTATCACTTCAAGAAAAACAATGGACATATTTTTTACCAGTGATAAAATTTGAGCTTTCAAGTGAAAATTACAATTCAGAAAAACTGACATCTACCACCATGGGCTGGGCATCTTGCCATTCCTTCTCTAATTGGTGGTGATACCAAACAAGAGATTTCTTGATGTCAACATAGAGATCTGTATAACTTTAGTGAACATTATTTTCCAAATATTACAAAACCTCATGGGGCAAAACAGCCATCCAAAGTACAAGATAAACCACTGGAATTAAATTTAACAGATTATGAAAAGTTCATTATTATGGTTTCAGATTCCACACTGTGGATCTTTAAGGAACTTATCAAGTTTTGATATAATATCAAAGATGAATTTCCTATCTGAAATTTTTCAACTACTTATCAAATAAAATAACAAATCACAACATACTGAATGCAGAAACAGGTATGAGAATCCAGTTGTCTATTATTCCAGACTCTAAAGGAATTTGCAAAAAATATTTAAATGCCAGTCTTTTTATTAAGTTTTTAAAAATGGATTAAAAAGATTTTTTAAAATTGTTTTAATTACTATAATCAATTGATATAGTCACACACTCAAGAGCTTTCTGGGGTCTGCAAGCCTTTTTAAGTATACAGTGGTTTTAAAAGCAAAAAATTTAGGCAATGCTTCATAGGTAGTGCTGTGCACTTCCTATTACTCATCACATTGGGAAGAATATGATGCCTGCTTGTTCCACTTTAGTGTTAGGACTGACCAGTGGGTCCAGGTACTTGATTCATTCAGTTAAGCTCCTTTCAAGTTTACCCAATAGCTTCAGCATCTGTTCATGATTGTTGCTTAGAGCTATTATTCCATTAAGGTAGAAAAATTGTGATTTTCATCATTCCTCCTGATTTTTGGATAAATTGACATTTTCCTTTTCGACCATTTGGTTACCTTGAAATATGGTTCATACAGGATCGAGATGATAAATACTCAATCTTAATTTATAAATTTCAGAATAATGAGTAAGTTTTGCAGCAACCTCTAAGGGTGAACATTATCTCATCTTAAAAACACCCATCTCATGCATAACCCCCACATATCCTGAAATAAAATATTTTAGTGTCATTTTGATGAGATCCATCTTAATTTCCATTTTCCTGATTGACAAAAATTACTTTTTCCACACCATTATTATCTTACCGGTACAAACTAGCTTATTAATTCTTCCCTTTTTCCACTTGAGCAAATCTCCACCTTTACCACACCCCAGGTCCAAAACAGTAATGTCGCGTGTTTTTTTCTGCCGTAACTTTTCTAAAAATTCCCCTAAAACAGAGAAATAAGACATAATATATGATCTCCATTTTACTAAAGCATAAATTGTCATCCCTAATAAACTATTAACTTCTGTCTGACATGTAATATGAAATACTATATTTTCATTTATGTAATTCATAACTTTTAGTAAACATTTCAAAATATGACAGATAATAACTTGATCTTCTAGCATTGAAGATAAAAAGGCATGTATCTGGATTTTAGAAAGTTAAAATAGGTTTTGAAGATTACTTTCAGAATCTGACTTAATATTAAAAAGCAGACATTTTAAATTCTAATTAATACAAAAGACCCAATAATTGTTCATAAGAGAAAACCTTATCATTCATATATTTTTTTTTAGTTTTCTCTTTCCAAAGCTAAGTATTTAGCTTATTGTACACCTAAGTTAATAAAAATAATTATAGAATAATAAAAGTGCCTGCTTGTCATAAAAGATGTCAGTCAGGCTTACCACCCCAAAAAATATAAGTAGTAAAAAAAGTATATATCCCTTAATTTTATTATCATCAGAAATCTTAAATACTCTGAAGTGTAAAAAAAAAAAAAAAAAGGAATCTTTCATCCCAATCTACCAAATCACATTAAAAGGCAATAAACAGAATCAGTGGTTCCTCATATATCAATAGCCAAATGCTTCAAATATCAGTTACAGACATCTTCATACCCTTAGACCAGTGCTCACAAATCGTGGCTCTCGAGCCACATGGAGTTCTTTGGCCCCTTGAGTGTTCTAATACTTCTTCAAAATAGACTCGCCAGCCGAAAACCTACTTCTGCACATGGGTCATGAAGTTTCAATTGCACTGTATGTGCACACCCACATGTGGTATTTTGTGGAAGAGCCACACCCAAGGGGCCAAAGAGCCACATGTGGCTCGAGAGCTGCAGTTTGCTGACCACTGCTTTAGATGATTGAAGTATTCAGCAATTCTAAATTTGATGCACTACTGCATCCAAAATCTACTTTTTCTGTCTTCATCACTGAGTTTAACACTTTCTATTTAATGTGTATTATTTTGATTGCTAGCATATTCTATATAAATGCTTCTGTCTTTCACTGTCCACCGGATTTTAAAGTAATTTCAATAGAAATACAAGTATCCCATATTTAACTTACTGCTATGAATCTTAAGAAATAGCATAAAAATAATATAGAAAGAGTGAAAAACAACAATTATAAAATCTCTATATTTCCATACAGAAAGACTAATTAGAGAAATCATCAAAAAACATTTCAGACATATCTTCATCACATTCATGAACAGTACTCAACTATTAATTAAACTATAAACACCAACAAGAAAGACAGTGAATGACAAAGAACGGATGTTGTGAAGAGAAAGGAAAAAGCCAGAGGGAGCTTTGCATACACAGACCACAAGATTGCATTAGGACCAGAAAGGCAGGTGCAGATGTCAGGGCATCCGCTGAGTTACTGAACAGCTGAAGGAAAATAACATGAATATTCTGAGATAAATTTTTGCTACGTCTGACTTAAGTCTTTTAATAAATACATGAATAAATTATACATCATTAAAATATTTAATGATAAGTTATCTGTATCATTGGATATGCAGAAGGAAAGCAAGAGAGAATAAATCAGGATTGATGTCCAAAGATTACCTTAAAAGTATAAGCTAATATTGACATAAAATTAACCTTAAAAATAAAGAGAAAAGAAAACTGACACTCAATTACCCTCAATAACAACTGGCAGAGTCAAATAAGTAATATTTTTGTAATAAAACATGATTAAAAATTGTCTCTCATAGATGTTTCTAGTTCTCTATCCCTTTCCCTTCCACTCTGTAATAAATGAATAAAACATATATATATATTTAAAAATAAATAAATAAATAAATATATATTTAAAAATCAGAATGTCTAATTTATCTTTAAAAGTTAGTAAATTATCATCAAACCTAGTAGAAAGTATCCATAATTAGCACTTCTTTCCAGTGTAATCAAGAAAGTATTTTCACTTTTTCTAAGACTGGTTTTAAAAAAATAAAGAAAAACTTCAAAACAAACTTGCTTTTTAAAAACCTAACCTTGTGTAATAGTCTAATGTACTAGATATACAAAGTAATAAATATATCCTGAATCATACTTCCTCAACTGACTTCCATTTTAATTTCAAAGGTGAGTTGCCACAGATAAAATACTAGATCCCAAAAGTTGACTATCTCTATAATCCTCAATATAAATTTTATTTTCTCCTCAAACATCATTCAAGAAAAATAAGTTTAATGGACAATCAACAGACATGATCTTTACCAACCCATTAAAGACCTCAAAATAAAAAATCATGACACTGCCAATTTCCTTGATTTAATGGAATCTTAATGTTTAATCCAACAACATGTCATTGCTCCAAAACTATTAACTCTAATAATAAAAGGGGCATACTACCTTTTGAAAGCCTGGTTAACTTTTCAATTTAATATCCATTAAACAGTTATTAGTATCTTTATGTAGTCAACAAAAGTAAACATAATCATTTAATCTCAAAGGCCTGTCTTTAGTTTTGGCTCCAGTTTTATAGAGTCAAGGTTTGATGACTAAATGAATCTAAAGATCTAGCAACTTGGTATATGATTAACCATTTAGTAGGGAGAAATGAGACATAAGCTGAAATAAAACATTCCAAAGAGTAAATTTTTAAAAATCATACCAATGAGGACGCTTTTCATCCAATTATTAAAGTTTCTTAGGTAAAAAATTCGACTTTGGCTACGCTTTTCCAAGCCAACTTCCTGAAGTTCATTGTAGTGGGCAGCCACTGTTGAGCTGTGGCCTTCCTTTAAGTGCTGAAAATAAGAGAATAGAACAACATTAAGGATTACAACATGGAAAAAATAAACCTAAAAGAGCATCTGACCTATATAAAGATAAAACGCCAATGAAATTGATAAATTTCACTGAACAACAGCATTAGCCACAGAAATCTCACTAATTATAATCAGATGTAAGATTTGTTTTCCCTCCCCTACTTTAAAAAAAATCTCTAGGTTTAAAATTTTCATCTTGATCTTTTGTCCATATAATTCTGCTATCAATGTTTTAATAAAACAAGTACTCTTCTAATGCCCTAATTTACTCAACTGATAAATTCCAGTCAGTGGAATAGAAATGAGTAATATGTACTATCCTATATAATAAAAGGGTAATATGCAAATTGACCCTAAGGGGTGGAGGGAAGACCAGAAAGAACCTGTCGCTATGATGCACACTGACCAGCAGGGACCAGACTCTCAAAGCAGGAGCTGCCCCCTGGTGGTCAGTGCGCTTCCACAGGGCGAGTGCAGCTCAGTCAGAAGCTGGCTCATGGCTGGCCAGCGCAGTCGTGGTGGCAGGAACTTCTCCCACCTCCTCAGCCGCACTAAAGATGTCCCACTGACGGCTTAGACCTGCTCCACTACAGGCTCCCCAGCTGCCAGAGGGATGTCTGACTACCAGCGCAGGCCCCATCTCCCCGGGGAGCAGGTCTAAGCCGGCAAGTGGACATCCCCTGAGGGATCCCAGATTGTGAGAAGGCACAGGCTGGGCTGAGGGGCAACCCCACCCCCCACCCCCGAGTGCACCGGGCCTCTAGTATATTTATAAAAGAGCTGAGACCATAACATGAGGCCATACACAGAAAGAGACTAGGCTATGTCAGTGTCAGTGATTCTTACTACTATTTGCTACTAATCTATTTCAACATTTTCAATTTGTGCTCCCTACTTAAGGCCCTGAGCCTTTGGCAAAATTCCCATGGTAGGTAAGGCTTCAGATCCCCATACTTCCTGTTCAAAGATTTTTACCTGAGAAAAGGCGCCCACTGCTAGTAACAGTTTGAAAACTGAGTTTATAATACAAGCTCCTCTCTGTTACAAGTACTCACACTCCACTAACGACAAATGCTTAGCCTATCCAAGCCTATCCAAACTCTCCTCATGGCTGATGGCAGAATTTACTCATTCATTGAAGCTCTCTTTCCCTCCAGATCCAGATTTTGTCTCTGATTCCTTCACAGCATCTGGTATTCCCAGATGAAAATGACTTGATATTCCTTGCTCTATAGTATCCCTGCTAAACATCAGGCTTCTGTGTCCACTTACCGTAGCTAAAATTGTATGCAACTACCCAAACAAGAAGTTGAAACAATATAGTTAAAGGAGTTGCAGTAAGAAAAAAAAGAAAGAAAGAAAGAAAGAAAGAAAGAAAGAAAGAAAGAAAGAAAGAAAGAAAGAAAGAAAGAAAGAAAAGTAAAACTGGGTATAATTTTTAAGTGTATCTTTTTAAGTGATAATATTTCAGATACAAAGAGATGAATACTTACTAAGAAATGAAACAAGGTAAATCATCTGGGACTCATACTCTTGTCTTTTTTAAATGCTAAGAAAAGACAAACCATAAAACTAGCTTTCAAGTTTCTAGTCAAATAAGAGTTTGAAATCATAAAAATTATCTCATTAGAAGTTTCACCTAAATAAAAACAATTGAAGTACAAGAGTTAAAAACTTACTCTATCTTAATATAATAAAAAAGAGCATTCTGAAGTTATTAAGATTATGTAAAAACCAGTATTATTTCACAGCTGCTCCATATTTCAATTTAACATATACCATTATGAATAAAATAAAATACATTCAACATACTTTCTGCTTTTCAGAAACATCCTCAAGTTCTCTTTTTCTCTTTTTTGGAGTACCGTCTACAGGAGAAGGTTCATCTTTTGGAAAATCATCAGCTTCCAGCCTTTTTTCCCTTGAAATGCCTTCATCATCACCAGAACCTTTTTCCTCTGATTCAATTTCAGCATCAAGTTTGCTTTTCTTGGATGGAGTGTCTTCTCCACAGCTGGAACTCTCTTTTACAAGATCATCTGCAAACTCCATTTTTCTTTTTTGGGGCATGTGGACTTGCACAGGAGCCTTTTCAGAAAGCTCAGTCTCAGGAGCAGTAGTGCTTTCATTATGGCTGAATGAAGACTCTGTTCCCGAATTTATTGATGCTTTCTCTTCTTCAAGAGAAATCTTTTCACATTCCTCTGCTTTTACAGAATTTTCCATTTTTGATTACTTAAATAGATGATAAAACTTCATGAACACTGAAATGGCAAAAATTTGATATTACTTATAATCACTTTAAAAATAATTTTAACCAGACACTAACCATTCATTTAATTTCAATGACCAACTAGGAGTTTAAGTCTCATGAAAATGATGTTAATATACATCAATATCAATTTATGAATATACTAATGTGGGAGTACTAATTATAATCCCCAAACTCTTTTAGCAATCTTACCCATAAAAGTCACTATTGGCATTAAAACTGACAAATGAAGGGGGAGGGGGAGCATACAGGTTTCTTTTCTATTCTGAACCTTACTTTATAGCCTTGATTCCCAAATTGTGTGCTGGGCACTATAACAAACTCATACAGGCACAGCAGGATATTTTAAAATTTTAAGGGAAGCATAGTGATATCTGGTATCTGGAAGATATCACAGATACAGATTCAAGTAGAGCACAATTTCAGCTGAGCAGATTGCATTATATCCCTTTCAATGACATCATAACTGTGAAGCAGATATTTTTGTGGCACTGAATAAAATCAATTAAACAGGAAATTAAGTTGGTGATGTTGGATCTTATTTCAAGGCTTGAGAAGTTTTACAGTATCCAACAGGTACATAGATTCTATTAGTAAGAACTCATGTTTAACTAAAAATTAAACACAAATATCATTTTTTTAAAATAAAGTTGCTAGGACATAAATATTTAATTATTTTTAAAATATATATTTTTTTATTGATTTCAGAGAGGAAGGAAGGAGAGATAGACATGAATGATGAGAATCTTTGATCAGCTGTCTCCTGTATGCCTCCCACTGGGGATTGAGCCCACAACCCTGGCATGTGCCCCTGTCGGAATCTGGGACCCTTCAGTCTGCAGGCCAATGCTCTATCCACTGAGCAAAACTAGCTAGGGCATACTTCAATTCTTTGGACTAAACTAATGAATGGTACAGTTAGGTATTTCTTTTGGCCTGGAGACATTGGAAAAAAAAAAGACACACACAAAACACACATCAGAGACACTAATAGAAACAAGAACAAGAAAAGTGTGGGAACCTGGAGTCGACCTCTGAAACCCCTATTTCGTAATAGGTTTCAGAATTAGGTAAAAGTGAAGATAGTAGCTTTCGACAAGAAGTTTCAAGACTCAGCCAGCAACTTAATAACCATTAAGAGGCGTTCAAACGTTCTTAGGCCTAATGGATCGAGAGGGAAATAAGTGAACTACCTATTGAACAGAAATGGGGATCCATTTATTGTCACTTAACAAATTTACTCAATTCTTACTACAGAAGAGCTCAATGAAGCATTGTGTGAATTACTGTTCAAGAAGCTTTCAGCTTATACAGTATACACATACGTACCACTATTAAAATGTTAGGCTGTATTATTCAAAACAAATGGAAAAGGGAGACCAGAAGTCCAAATCAGGGGGCGGGGAGAGGGGAGAGAAGAGCACCCAAAAGGTAATTTTCAGAATGACTACTTAAAATGATTATCTAGTAAAACTGTCCTCTAAATGATCAAACCCCTATAATCTCCTCTCTCCTAATTAAAAACAGAAATAGGTTTTAAATGATAAGAAATCAATGTGATTTATCCTCTTTAGCTGAAACTGACGCCTGAAATTTACATTGGGAATAGGTGTGACGTTTATATTATGCAACTCTACTTCCACAGATAAGATGCCATTAAACCAATGAATTCGGCCAGAATAAATAAGAAACCCCAAACGATGGCAAAAATAGATGAGAGTCGACTGTCCATGTGTAATAACGAGCATACTCCAAATCCATGAGTGTTGCCCTTCAGAATCCTGGAGGAAGGAGTTTACGGAAGAGTCCACTGACATCGAGTTGGAGAAGCAATGAAATGACCAGGCGTTCTGACCTGGCTTTTCCAGGCACCTTTAACGCAAGCCGTCTCCGTCATTTCAGTTCCACAGACAACCACCGAGCATAGGGCTGGGACGGCCAGGCTTAGGCTCAATGGGGGAAAGCTCTCCGTCCCGACCCGCCCGCCCGCCCGCCAGCCAGTCCGGGTCAACGCGAGGGCCCAAGAAGTCGCGACAAGGCGAGAAGGCAATTTCTCGGCCAAGTTCACCCTCTTCCGTCTCTGGCGCGGCCTAGCTCTTACACCAAGCCTCCGGCTCAGATTTCGGATTCGCCGCTCCAGGTTACACACACGCGCTACTTTGTATCAGACACTCCCACGCTCTCCGCCCGACCCTGAAGAGCGGCCTCAGGCTGCTCTTCGGCGGACTTCCCGGGACCCGGACTCGCTAGGTCTGGAGGAGCAAGAGCGCCCACCGGCTCCCACAAGCACTGCCCATTTTTGCTCTGCGCTGAGGGCACCATCAGCCCCTCGCGAAGGGTTCGGAAGGCGCGAGGCTAAGACAAAGCGACCTCCTATCGGGAGTCGCAGTGCCCCTTCCACCTGGATGGCAGCGGCGGAGGACCCAAAGACAAAGAAAAGCCGGGCCGCAGAGCCGGCAGCACACTTACCCATACAGCCACACACACACACGGTTCTGTTTGCGGAAGCGGCGAGCCGCGCCACGCTAGTATAGCTACGCCACTTCCGGGGGCGGGCGTTGGTCACGTGACACAGTTCTCGGCCGCGATTGGAGGTGATGCTCGACCTTCGCGCCGAAACTACAAGTCCCGTGGTGCTGCGCGCAGCGGCGTGCTCCGGAACGCACGAGCGGGTCGAGCAGTCGCGAGCACGTTGCTAGTGGGCGCGGCTGGTGGGGCTAAAGGGGTGGTGGGAGGCGGGTGTCCAACTGAGCACGGCGGGTCCCAGCATCCCGAGCCACGCTCGGCCGGATCACTCTGTGGAGTGACACCGCTGTGGCCTCGGAGGAGCTGTCGTCCGGCCTGTGCGGCGGCGAGCGGCGGCGGCGGCGGCCTCAACGTCCGAAGAGGTAGCCTGGGCCCAAGACCTTTAAGGGCAGCGGGAGGGGTGAAGAGGGCACCTTCAACCCGCTGCGCACTGGGGAGCAGACCCGGGGCGCGAACCCGGCCCCTGCCCGGCTTTTCGGGCTGTGGCCGGAGGTCCACCTGCGGGGACCCACACTTGCCCGCCCCACCACCCGCTGCGGCCGAAAGAGGTCACCCCCGCCCTCCTCTGTCGGTCCTGTGTCCTTGCAAATCTGCCTTTGGGACTGTCTTTAGCTTTCTGCTCTATGACTCTGCACCCTCTCTGCTCGTCCCTTCTTCGGAAGCCTGCGGAGGAGGGGTCTGAGCGCCCCCGCTGTAGGAGTTGTCTTAAGGAATGGTCCACATCTCATCGCTTCTCGGCCTTTTGGCTAAGATCAAGTGTAGGAATGGTCCACATCTCACTTCTCCTTAGGGATTGGCAGATCGCCCCCGATCGCCGTATTTGGGAGGTGGCACCATACCTCCCTCCAGGGAGGCCTCTCTGGGCTGTGAGAATCTGGAGAAAGGGGCAGCCCAAACCTAGTCTAGAGAAAAGCCTCATAGCGGGGTAGTCCATGCTGTCCGGACTTGGATATGGGTGGTTGGGGGGACTTGGATATGGGTGGTTGGGGGGACTTGGATATGGGTGGTTGGGGGGACTTGGATATGGGAACACTTTCTTTGTTCACCCATCCCCTGCTTTGCACTGGAGAGTGGAAGCCACCTACTGTACTGGAACCGGAAAGCTCTACATTTGAAAGGCCTTCAGTTGGAAACTAGGGTCAAAACCGAACCCGCGGGCTAAGATGATTGGCGTGTGTACATATTAACTTTATTGTGCCTCAGCACCTCCCCATCTTAATGGTATATATTAAATAAGTCAGAACGTGGTCACATTTGCAGTCACATATTGAATTATACTTTTACCAAAATTAATCCCTTTAAAAGCAGCTTTGAAAGTGTGTTTGACTAGCCTGGCTACTTGTCAGTAAGGGCGATGATATTAATGACTAGACTTGGCTTTGTGGAAGGCGACATTCACATGTACTTCCTTTAAAGCCCTGTCACTTCTAAAATGTGGGCATTATAAACTTTGGACCAAGAATGAATGAGACCTCTTTTTAACATAAATAATTTTAGGGGGAAATTTTTTTAATTTTCTTACAAGAGTAAAAGCTTCTTCCTCTGTGTTTATACAAACTCCACCATGGACGGATGTTGTGCATGAGATATGTAGAGCTCACGTTTTGTCGTTTTTATAAAGCTCAACTGGAAGTCAAGGAAATTCAATTGAGAATAGAAGAACTCCTGAGAGTAGTAATAATGGAGGGAGTAAATGGGTCAGATAAAAATGTTTTGAAAGTTGCTGTGGGTGTTCTTTTCCCCATTATTACATGTATAATATCTGTTCTTCAAATTGAATTAAAAATAAAATAGGTAATAATTCTGTGTGACAGACAGATTAGGTGCTTTAAACATTTGAACTCATTGAATTTTTACATAATCCAGTGGGATAGTTATGGTTATTTTTGTGTTAAAGATGAAGGTTAAATAACTTGGCCAAGGTTGTGCATTTGGGAATTAGTGGAACTAGGATTTGGACCTAGGCGGTCCAGCTCCGAAGACCAGACTCCATGCTAATAAAGAAACAGCACCCGCTTAGAATGCCAAACTCAGAACTAGAAATTGGCTGACAAATAGTTGATTTTCAGAAAATATTTTGATAATTTTTAATGCTTGCTGTTTAATGTTCAGAGAAAAAATAGTTGGATAAGATCCCCCAAGACAGGATCATCATTTTGTTCAGGGATTTAACCTGAATGTTTTTAATAGTGCCTGGCACATAGTGGTGCTTGCTAATTGAATGAATGAATTGCCAAGAAAGGTCTTTAAAAATCTACTTGTTATAAAAGTTCAGACGAATTATTTGAACCCATTTTAAGATTGCTTTATGTGCTGTTTTGATTATTTGGTCCAGTATTAACCCACTCACACCACCTGGTTTAGATTTCTCCTGGTTTGACTTATAGTTTATCAGTGAAAGAAATGAAGTAGCAATTTGTAAGTTTTCTGATTACAAGGCAAGCAACTGGTTTAATACCGTATTTTTCGGACCATAAGACGCACTTTTTCCCCCCCAGAAGTGGGGGGGAAAAGTCCCTGCGTCTTATGGTCCAAAAATAGCCTACACATATACTTTAAAAAAAAAGTTTTTTTACTTGCCCGGCTCTGTGTGCTTGCCCGGCTCTAAAATGGTTCTAAATGCTGCTGTTTACTTTACAGGGTTGATTACATGTGTTTATGACTGTGATGTTGGGTTTTAATGCACATAAAATATTTTAGGACACTATTTGTTTCAGAATCTTTTTTTCTTCATTTCCCTTCTCTAAAAACTGGTGCGTCTTATGGTCCGGAGCGTCTTATGGTCCAAAAAATATGGTAGTTACCAAGTTTTCTGAGTAAAGGCAAGTAACTGATTTAGTAGTTACAATTCCGCTTTTTAAGTCATTAGTTTTCAAAGTTAGAACATTCTGACTTGTAATTTTAAAGTGTAATTGCTGGTGTAGAGTAGAAGATCACTTTTTTTTTTTTTAAATCCACACCAGAGGATATTTTTTCCCATTGATTTTTAGAGAGGAAGGGTGGAGTGGAGAGAGAAAAAGAGAAGCCTTGATGTGGGAAAGACACATGGATTGGTTGCCTCCCGCACATGATTCAACCAGGCCCCAGATGAAACCTGTAACCGAGGTGCATGCCTCGACAGGGAAATCGAATCTATGGACCCTTCCATCAGCACTCTGACAATATGAAACCACTGAACAAAACCTACCTGAGCAAAGATAGCATTTTTGAAATATAAACATAGTTTTTAAAATGTAGATACAATGTTGTAGCTTCCTAAGAATGATGTTCTTGGAATTTGGAAAGAGAGGTGGTTTATGGAAAGTTTGTTTCTTTACAAAGTCTTGGAGGAAGGAGTATCTGTCCAGTCCACTCACAAAGTGCCCCTACTAAAATTTTACTGCCTTTTGGGTCACATAAGATAATCTTGTTTAAAAGGTTTAAGAGTTGAAAGTAAGTTTCGTTGAGAAATCTCTTAAGTTTATTATGTGTAGAGACTCGTTTTATATGTTAACTAGGTTATAGTACCTAGTTACTTAATCAAACACTAATCTAAGTGTTATTGTGATGGTATTTTGAAGATGTGATTAAAATCTAGTAAAGGAGATTGAGGGTAATCTTTACTCGTCTTTAAGTAAAGGAGATTACCCTCAATAATGTCGGTAAATCTTTTCAAATCAATTAAAGGACTTAATTTCAAACTGAAGTATCTCAAGAAGAAAAAATTCTTAAGATTTCAGTATTGCCTGGCCTGCGTGGCTCTGTTGAGCGTCAGCCTAGGAACCAGGAGGTCACAGGTTCAATTCCTGGTCAGGGCACATACCTGAGATGTGGGCTCAGTCCCCTGTAGGATGCATGCAGGAGGCAGCCGATAAATGATTCTTTCATCATTGATGTTTCTATCTCTCCTTCCTTACTTTCTGACATAAATAAAAGTTTATTTTAAAAAATATATATTGCAGCATCGATTTCTGCTTGTGTTTCTAGCCTTCAAATCTGCCTACACCTTTTCAGAGTTACTAGCCCTACAGGTGTGTGAGCTAGTTCCTTAAAATAAATCTGTATTTATACATCTGGTAAATAATCTAATACATTTCTAATAGATAGAAATATTTTTCTGAAGAGAAGTAGGTAGGTGTATGTATATATTTTTCCCTGTTAGTGCTGTGTTTTTTGAGAACCCTATCTGTGTCAGATTTTGGTAACTACGGTAGAGTGATTCTAGAACAAGCAGGTCCGAAGGCCACATGCGGCCCACAACGAATATTTTTGCAGCCCAGCCAGTATAATATGTAAGAAATGATTTAATAAAAATTTTGTAACTTAATTTTTACAATATCCTGTTATGCATAATTATTAATAAGGAACTATAACGTTCGCTAAGGACTGATTACTATAATTGTATTGCATTCATTTGCCTTATATAATATGCAGGCACACCATTTCTCTCCACCAATACTACCGTGTTTCCCCGAAAATAAGACCTACTTACAGGTTTCCTTCTGAGTGAAATATAAGGCATCCCCCCGAAAATAAGGCCCCCCTAGGCTCTGTCTCAGAATGAATATTAATATAAGACACTGACTTATTTTCGGGGAAACAGGGTAGCAGCGGATATTTTAGCAGCCAATTTCCACATCATTGTCTTGGGCTGACTTGTTTGATGTGCACAACAGGAAATATTTCGCTTTCAGAGAACAAGAAAAATCGCTTTATTTGCATTACACTTATTAATTTGTGCAGTTATTCAGTGTCTGGTAAGTTAATGTTCAAGAAAAAAATATTAATTTTTATTAAAATGTTTTGTTATTTGTCCTAGCCAGTTTGGCTCAGTGGACAGTGTTGGCCTGCCCACTGAAGGTCCCGGGTTGCATTCCAGCCAAGGGCACATGCCCTGATTGTTGGTTCCATCCCCAGTAGGGGGCATGCAGGAGGCAGCCAATCAATGATTCTCTCTCATCAAAGATGTTTCTCTCCCTCTCCCTTCCTTTATGAAATCAATAAAAATATATTTTGGGGGGAAAAAAGTTCTATTTTATGTTAGCGATCACTCATTTATTTCAGTCCTTTGTGTTCAGCATGTCTCTATAAAAAAAAAAATCTGTTTCTATGAATTGAAGCTTTTGTTTTTTTCAGCTCACATAAACTTAAACCTTGTTTATTTGGCTCATGTTAGCCTTTGAGTTTGACGTGCTTGTTCTAGATCAGTGGTTCTCAATCTTTTTAATGTCGTGACCCTTAATACAGTTCCCATGTTGTGGTGACCCCCAACCATAAAATTATTTTCATTGCTATTTCATTACTGTAATTTTGCTACTGTTAATGAATTGTAATGTAAATATCTGTGTTTTCTGATGGTCTTAGGCGACCCTGCTAGCGGGTCGCAAAATTACAGTTATGAAGTAGCAAGAGGAAGAAGTTAATGGATTCTTGGATGAGTGTGGATGTAGGTAACTCTGGAAGGGGGAAGGCTAAAGGTGAGAAAATTCACTCCTCATAACTTTGGTTCATTTTTAAAGGGAAGAGGGGGTTGGCTTTATTGAATTATTTATTAAATATTTATTGAGTGTCTCCTATGTGTCACCCAGCCTTTGTTTTAGGAGCCTGGGGTGCAGCAATAAACTAAACAGGAAAAAAAAAAAAAAAAACTGTCCTTGTGGGACCATAAGTAGTAAACACAATAAATAAGTAAATTATATAGGATGTTAGAAGATTAGTGCTATGAAAAAAAAAACACAAATAGAGCAAGGTCAGGAAGATAGGGATGGATGTCAGGGCCGGAAGGGAGGGGATTGGGAGCAGTGTTGCCATTTTAAATAGAATGGACAAAGGAGACATCAGGGAGCTGATGCCATTGAACAGACTTGTGAGAAGCAAATTAGCCATGCTAACTTGAAAAGACTTCCTAGAAGAGGAAATATCTAGTGCATAGTTCTTAAGGCAGGAGCCTTTTTAGCATGTTTGGCTTTCAGAATAAGTTAAGTTAGTTTTGTAAAAATAACTAAGGACTTAATCTGTTTCTTTATGGCCTTTCTTATTTAATATTCTTTATTTGAAGCACCCGTAGCTTTTCATGTTGGTTGTTAAATAGTCTGATTCTTCAGACTGTTACTTGACTTTGACTTTGCTTTTGTCTGTAGCAATTTCTAGTATCACCTTTTAAGACTTCCTGGGAGCCTGCTAATTTTGAGACATTTACAATTTCATTTCGAAACTCATTTGCATTGTGTTGTTTGATGATCTGTGAGAGCCTGATAGGAGCTGATGTTAATCATTAATTAGGGGGGGGGGTTAAGTCAGTGTTTATAGGGAACAATTCATTAGTGGGTGATTTTATTGGATAATAAAATCAGTTTGCACTGAGATGACAAATATTTGTGTAAAATGTGGTGGAGTAGCTGTGTTTATTGGAGTGCTGATTTATTGGGGTGCTAACTGAATCTACATATATATTGACTCTTGTTTAGTATACAATTTTAAAAAGTAAGATCATCTATTCTCAATGTATTCTCAGAAGTAATAAGTTAACAAGCATGGGATAGGGTGGAGATTAGGGGGTAGTGGCACTTCCTGATGCCAACAGAGGGGAACTGATTTGCTATAAGTAATACATTCTAAAATTCTGTCATACCGGTGGGGAAACCTGTATCTAGAGAGGCCAACTAATTTTCTCAAAATAATACCACTATTAACTCTGTTGGGTACATTTTATTCCAATGCCTATGTTCTTTTAAAATTACATTTTAACTTTCCTGACAAAAAGTTATAGATATCTGGAAAAATCCATCTCTCTTCTCACCAGCCAATAACATGTGATTTATAGTTTTATATAATTTAGTCTAAAGACATATAGGATAAATGATACTGATAACTACTCATTAGATCTTAACATTTGTAATAACTAACACTTATATGATGCTTGTTAATTTACAAAAGCATGTTTACATCAGAATTTTCATATAATTCCTATAATAATCTGCGAAGTAATCATTTTACTAGTGGATGTGGGCTTGTTATCTAATAGGGAATTGCATGGAATTATGTCCCCATAAACGTTAGGGCCCAGATCTTTTGCTTCCAGATCTTAAGGCTTATTTCCATTATACTATACTGCTAATTTGTAGAATAATAAAGCTCTACAAATATCCATTTTGTAGTAATAAAATCACTTCAAAACATTACCCTCCATGATGTCTGCTAGACTCATTTACTCTATCATATTTAAATGGTGTATTTTAATGAGATTTTAAAATTGCATTGTTACAACTGTATACCATAAATAACATTTCATGGATTTGGTAACAATGTCTTTTCTTTTACTTCTTAATAATTAATGACTCGTTTTTAAGTAGATTAGTTTAAAATGGGAATCTATATAATCTAATTTTTAAATCTATTCTCTATAGAAGCTGAAGTCCACCCATCACCATTCTTCAAAATGCAATGGAATGTACCAAGGACTGTATTCCAGCTGGCACATAGGACATGCATGGACCCACAGAAAGCTGGTCTTTTTGGACACTGTCAATATATAAAGGGACCATTACTTTTGTATACAGCTGAATCCAGAGTAGTTTTGGTACAAGTCCCTCAAAAACAATGGCTGCACTTATCTGCTGCCCAGTGCACTGCAAAGAAAAGGAAGCCATTCGATGCTCCTTCACCCCAACTGGGGATTCTTCATTATAAACAGTGGGAGCAGGATACCTCCTCTAAGAGGGTTATGTCATCCAACACCACATCTCCAGGAGCGCCTTCAGAAAAAAAAGAAGAACCTGATCCTTTACAAGACAAATCTATTAGCCTTTATCAACGATTTAAGAGAACTTTTAGACAGTATGGAAAAGTGTTGATTCCAGTGCATCTAGTAACTTCTAGTGTTTGGTTTGGAACATTTTATTATGCAGCCATAAAGTAAGTTTTTGCTTGGTTGAGCATCTTTCCCTGTTTTATCAAAATGTTTAATCTTTTAAAAAAATTATTGTTGGAAATATTACAGATGTCCCCTTCCCCCCCACCCCCCCTTTAACCTTTTTCACCCATCCCTCCCCCACCCCGGCCTTCACCTGTTGTCTGTGTCCATGGGTATACATATATGCATATAAATTTTCTGGTTAATCTCTCTCCACCTACCCCCTTACCCTTGCCTTCCCTCTGAGATTTCTCAGTCTGTTAATCTTTAGTGTACTTAAATGCTTTAATGTCTTTAATTGATAGAAAATGACTACTTTTCATAACTTTGTCACACTTGAATAATCAACATTTGCTTACTGTGTACATTAGGCATTGCTAAATTTTTAACTGTTTTATCTCATTTAATCCTCATAGCAATCATGAAGCAGGTAGTGCAATTATTCCCATCTTAATAATGAGAAACCAGATTTTAAGAATAAGCCAGAATAACTTACCGTATTTTTCGGACCATAAGACGCGCTTTTTTCCCCCCAGAAGTGGGGGGGGGGGGGGGGGGGGGGAAAGTCCCTGCGTCTTATGGTCCAAATATAGCCTACACATATACTTTAAAAAAAAAGTTTTTTTACTTGCCCGGCTCTGTGTGGTCTCTGTGTGCTTGCCCGGCTCTAAAATGGTTCTAAATGCTGCTGTTTACTTTACAGGGTTGATTACATGTGTTTATGACTGTGATGTTGGGTTTTAATGCACATAAAATATTTTAGGACACTATTTGTTTCAGAATCTTTTTTTCTTCATTTCCCTTCTCTAAAAACTGGTGCGCCTTATGGTCCGGTGCGTCTTATGGTCCGAAAAATACGGTAGTTTTTCCTAGAATAACAGAGAATCTGATGTCACAGCTCATGCTCTTAGTCACTGTATTCACCTCCTATCAACATTTAGGGTAGCACAGAGATAAAATCATATTTCAGAAATTTAGCAGCACCAGAAATTTTGTACTTATATATTTTTTAACGTTTTCATAAATGTAAAAACACATCTATTATTTTTCCATGTGGAAAATTCTAAAATATTTTTGCAAAACTCTGGCTAATAACTGTTATAGACACAAACTTGAGCAAATTGCAGACTTATGTTTTAACGTTACTCATATCTGACAAATGTCAACGTAATACCGTTTATTCTTATCAGAAGTTAATTTCATATACATTTAAAATTTTGTTAAGAGGATAGATCTCATGTTAAGTGTTCTTTCCTCAATAAAACAAACTTTTTCAAAAAACTTAATTTAGTAGGCCTAGCCTGCTAATATTATAAAACAGAATTTCTAAATGTTCCTTTCTTGTTAAATACTGTTCCTTTTTTTCTTTTCTTTTTTTTAAGGTAAGTTCTATTATTCACTCTGTTTTAGGTGCAAGAATACACATAGAAACAGCTTCCCAATAATTTCCAGTTTGTTTCTGCCTCAAGCAAACCAGTGGGTACCAACCTGTCCCTGTTCCTTTGAAAAGAAAAGTACTGGTCTGGTCCTGACCAAGCCCAGTGAGCTCACTGTCCTGAAGGCAGTGATGACAGCACAATGGAGACCATTTTGACATTTTAGTAAACTTTTCTAATGGGATTAGAATTATTTTATACTTTCCAAAAGTCCATTGATTTTCAGTGTTTGGTTATATTTACTTACTTGATAATAGGGTATTAATAAAATATAGTTTTGTTTGTGAAGCTCACTCCTTGGAGAAAGCTTATTATTTACTAAATTAAAGGATGATGGAATTAAAATTATACTTATTCTTGGGAAACAGGATTAGAGATATATTTTTATAAAAGTTATAAAAGAATTTTTAACCTTGTGTAATTGATGCTTTTTTGTTTCTCTTCATAGCTTTCTCTCCATTGTGTTTTTGTTATTTAATTTTATCTTTCTTTATTATGTATTATTTTCGTTAATGTTTTTGTTTTTTTCTTAGGAGGTCCTTGTATATACACTTTATGGAATTCTCTCTTTGCTTATTAATGACATTTTCTGGACATGGATAATTTTTATAGAAGTCTTTGAAACTGCCCTTATTTATTAGCAGAGAATAAAAGTGTATACCATTTTGCATAAAAGTTATAGGCATTCAGTTTTATACTTAAATAATGGCTTTTTACATCTTAAATTTTCTTTTTTGAGCCATTGTGGATTTTTCTGATTCAGCACTGTGGAAGATAACATGGGTAATACATGTTTCTTCTGACTCCCTTAATAAGCATTCAGTCTCCTGGCATTAGAGGCAGACATCTAAATTTCTAATTAATTGAATATGATAATCTCATTTGGACTATTAAAAAGAGGACTTTTGTTTTCTTTACTTTTCCTTCTTGAGTTAAAGATTTCTATAACTAAACAATCGGACCCCAAATAACCTAGTGATAATAGTTATTGCTATCTGGCATCTGAGGCAGTTGTGACATTCTGCCAGCCCCTGTGGAATGCACCTCTCTTAGTTTTTTCCTTTTTCCTCTTTTCTGCAGAATGTTTGTGTGTAAGCATGGTGATAAGACTGTCTACTTTAAAATTCACACCCCATTCCCCATCATAACCTACCTGTTGGCTATTTGCCAGCATGTGAAATCTGTGTGCCAGACCCACCACTATTGCCTAGCTATGACTACTGGTCCAATTCTGTTACAGCATCTTATAGCTAAAAATTTGTATTTCGTATTTTACTGAATCTGTAATACTGCAGGAGTTGAAATTTGATTTGTTCTAGTAAGATCTTTTCGCAAGTAATACTTAACCCTTTGCACTCCGCTGTCCCCTCTCAGGGGACATCGGAATTCTAGCATATCACTCGGATGTCCCCTCTCAGGGGACATTGCAGTTTATTAGTGATTATGGGGAATTGAGTTAGCTCAACGCACGTTTCGCAAAGTAGCGTCGAGTAGCTGGTAGCCAATGTCCAGAATGGTTTGGAGTGCAAAGGGTTAAAAAACATAAGGACTTAAGATATGTTCAAATGACAATTTACCTTTCATTGTGAGATGATTTTATCATAAAACTAGAGACCCAGTGCATGGATTCGTGCATGGGTGGGGTCCCTTAGCCTGGCCGGCAAGCAGGGCTGCAGGAGGTTGGCCCATCCAGGAGGTTGGCTGAGGAAGTGCACTGACCACCAGGGGGCAGCTCCTGCATTGAGTGTCTTCCTCTGGTGGTCAATCTGTCATAGTGACCAGTCAATTGGTTGTTCGGTTGCTTAGGCTTATATATATATGTATTATATGTATATGTATATGTATATGTATAATATATGTATATGTATGTATATGTGTATATATATGTATAAATTGGAGTTACTTGTATTAAATACAGGTGTTTTGTTTTTTTAATTTAACTGACAAGAAGCTGGCTTTATTTTATTTTAGTTTTAGCTTGTTGCCTACTTACTATTAAAAGAAAGAAGAAAAAATAATTTGTAACTCAAAGGATGGGCATTAGAAGTCACATTGCATTACTGGCCAATGTTTGTTTTAGTCACTCTGACAACCAGCATGCTGCCTTACTAGTCACCATAAAGCAAAATGCCGTTCTTTATTTAGTTAACTCAGTGATCAAGATCTCAGGCTTTTGAAACATTTTATTTCAGGGAGATCTAAATTGTGCATGGTAATGGATTTTATTTTAAACTAAGCTTTGTTGTCCCTCCTATCTGGCAAAAACTTGCAGATACATTATGTCTTCTAACCAGAAGTCTTCTGTTTGGTCAAATGTAGCTCTGTGATGATAGTTTGGTTCCTGTGTTTAGATGCTTCATGTTTTGGCCTCAGGTTCCTAAAGCTACAGATTCACTCTGGGGAAAAATCCTGACTGATTTTTACTGCACTTTATTCAGGCTGTGAATGTGCTTTGCCCTGGGTGTCTCCGCATCACTAGAAACATCCATAAAGCTGGCAGTTTGTGAAGCGGACGTTTTTGTCAGGCTGTGGGAAGTTCAGAGTAAAAAGTTTCAAAAAATGAATATTATTATTTGAATCAAACCTTCATTAATACGTCATACTTAGCAATTCCAAAGAGGATGAAAGGTTTGTTTGTTTTTTTACTAAAGTCAAGTCATCAAATTGGTATTTTAGAAATAAGTGAAATGAGATGTTTGCTTCTTTATTTTACAGAGGATACATATGCAAGGTGTCTGAGGTTATTATTATGGTGGTTTTTATTTTTTTAATTACCCCATTGTGTGTTATATTTGGTCAAATATTTGTCTTTTTTCTTCATTATGATTTCTGTTAAATATGTAGATTTTACATTTTGTGCTTAGTCTGAACTAGAAAATGATTAATGGAGTAACTTTATAATTTTATTGGCACTAGAAGGTAATTAGCATGTTGTGGTAGGATGTTACTGTAAATAGTAACTATTAGATGCATAGAATAGTCTTTATGATACTAAGCCTTGCTTTAATAGGATTCTAAGAAAGCGGTTTTTAATAGAACTGGTGATAGAGATAGAAGAAACCAGATTAGATTTATAATTGACATATTCCTTAAACTCTTTAAAGATTACTTCACTTATCTGGTTTCCTTTTGTAGATGATAGGTAATTTTTCTTTTTTTTCTTTTTTTTATTGTTTAAAGTATTACAAATAGTAGTACATATGTCTCCTTTTCTTTTTTTCCCCAATTTACTTTTCCCCAGCCTCCCATACCCACTCCTCTCTCCCACCCACCCCCAGCACATGCCCTCTCCACACTCCCAATGTCATTGGTTATGCTTATATGCATGCATACAAGTTCTTTGGTTGATCTCTTACCTCCCCCTAGGTAATTTTTCTAGATGATGTTCAGCCATATCTATTGAGTAATCTCTGGTTTCTTAGTATTATAATGAAATCATGGAGAGGGACTTTTCCCCAGTTACCAAGTTATTTTTTAATATTAAAAATAAATTAAGATTTTGCAACTACCGTAATAATAATGAATCCAGGCAATTTTTTTCTGAATTACGATGAAAAAGAGTATGTGTATCATGGAACAACCTGTGGATCCTACCTTAACCAAGAATCAAACAACATCGGTGATGGAACAAACTACCATTATGTGGCCCCTGTTGATGCACCGAAATCAACTGTGCAGTTTTCCTTTTGAAAAACATTTAACATGAATCTAATCATGAGGAAACAATCAGACAAATCCAAGAAAAGGGATAGTCTACCATGCAACTGGACTGAAAGCTTAAAAATCTCAGTGTCAAGCAAGACATGCTGCCTTCCTCCTCTTCAGAAGGTGCTGGGAAGCATTTCTAGAGAAAAGGAGAGCATTAAGGGACATGCTAGACCAATTCAGGAAATTTTATGTCATTGTAGGAGAATCACAGAACAGGAGTCTTATTCTGATTTAGAGGTGAAGGGTCTCAATATCTGCAAATTTGTGCACGTGCCAATGTAATAAAATATTGATAATCAGAAAAACTACAAATAAATTAGGGTTTATCAGCTCAGATTAGAGACATTCTCTGCCTTCTCTCCCTCCCTCCAAAAATGTTTTGCAGTTTATGGTAATTTTCACCTGCCTATTCAGTTCATCTGCTAATAGCAGCACCCTTTTAGGATAATTGAAGTTTTCATCAAATAATTTATTCAAGTCATTAGAATAATTTATTCTTTGCATAATAATACAGTAAGTAATGTTATATAAATTGCTTTTACAATAATATTATAGTTTGGCATGTAATACTAGAGATAAAAAATCTTAGATCCTGAAGTTTGAGTTGAAGCATTCTAACTAATGAAGTGGTATTTTAGTTGAGAAAACTAAGGTGTCAGGTAAGTGATTCTGACCCTTTTCTCCTAGGTTACATAATGTTATTAATTTTTCTCTGATAAATACCTTTATTTTTTTGAATATGTTAAATGCAAAAGTGGCACACAGTAAGCTATAATACAACACTAGTGTTTGTGTACATATTGTTCGTTTAGAGTGACATTAAAGTGTTTGATAATATAGAACTGACTTTTAAACAAAATTTGGTTTTGGTATTTTCAGATAATCTTTTGAAACTATTTATCCCTAAAATGTGTGTGTGTGTGTGTGTGTGTTTGTGTGTGTATGTATGTGTATATATATATATAAATTACTTTTTGTTTCTTTCTTAGCGGAGTGAATGTCATTCCTTTTCTAGAGCTTATTGGGTTACCTGACAGCATAGTAAACATTTTGAAAAATTCCCAGAGTGGAAATGCCCTAACAGCATATGCCTTGTTTAAGGTAGGTACTATTAGAAATTAATTATTCCTCACACTTAACCAATGACCTGCTCTGCTCCCCAGAAAATTCAATGTTACCACCCAATAGTTCTTTTTTGTAATAGTTGTTTTTTTAAAAAATATTACATTTCATCTCTTAGATATCTTATAAAGTTTTAAAATTTTAAGTATAAATAAGATGATGGTTTAGGAAGAGTGCGTTGAAAATAGGTAGGTCATTCATAACCTGCTGTGATCACATGTGAAACTTCTGAATTTCTAGGGTACAAGTCATTTTTTTAACTTTTTTCCTATACATGGTATATTCATTTTTATTATTCAGAGATCTGCATGCCACTTGACTTATAAGTGAAATTTAGCATTTATTTTACCATTTATAAATAGTTCATCTTCTTAATAAGTAAAATATAAAGTTTAATGCAAGTTGTTTTATATGATAAACCTAATTAGACTTAGTTGTTAGATGTTGTGCATGTTTTATTTTAGAAGTTCATAGACTTTATAACTTTTCTGGATTTAGACAGTGACATCTTTATAAATATTTCTACACCTGTGGGTCTTTTTTTTTTTTTCTTTTTTTTTTAGAAGAGGAGACTCATTGTATTATTAAGCCATATTAATCTCATTTTTCTCTATTGACAAATAATTATGAGGTTCTTTGTAGCTTCATACTAAGAAAGGAAACAAAGCATTTGGAAGCTAGATGTTATTTTACTTTTATTATATAAAAATACTTAAAATTATGGTTTTATAATAGTACTCAAAACTAAAGTTGTTTTATTCTGTCATCTTTATTAGAATCCTCTGAAATCTTGAGAGATTTCCTCTTTTATTATAATTTTGACTAGCAAGCTAAACTTAATTGCCGAGTTTTGCAACATTAAAATTTAATTCATAAATTATCAAGTTTATAGCTTTTGTGGACATAATTTAACCTTAATAAATCAAGGGAGAGGGAGAGAGAGATAAAAGCACCAATGAGAGAATCATTGTTTGGCTGCCTCCTGCATGCCCCCTAATGGGGATCAAGCCTGCAACCCACGCATGTGCCTTTGACCTGAATCAAAACCAGGACACTTAAATCTGCAGGCCCATGCTCTATCCACTGAACCAAACCAGCTAGGGCACTACTTTTATTTTTTAAAGTTTTCTTTATTTGATTATTAGTGCCCAGGAATTTAGAATCATGTCTTCTTTCTCTTTGTGTTTTCCGTGTGCTCTATATTGTGCTTTGCAGGCAAATTGATGCTCAATGCATGTTTGTTGGGTTTAAATTGAGTTAGCAGTTTTTCTTCTCGTTCACTGTTCCTGTGCAAAGTGGAAAATGTGGAGGGGGTTCTCTTGAGTGTTTACTGTAACCCACAGTCTTAAGTAGAGCAACAAACACAGATTTACTGCTTTGATAAGGCAAAGCCCCAAAGAGTTGTGGCATAGATGAGGAAAAAAATCCAAAAACCTGAGAGTATGACCTTGTGGCCTTGGCTAGGACACACATAGCCCCCTTGTACTATCCTTGAAATGCACCATTGGTTGAGTTGCTTAAAACTTGTTGGGCCCCTACTGTGTGCCAAGTGCCAATTCCAGGTACTAAGGATACCGTAATGAAATAAAATGGCACAGAATACTGCTCTTGTGAAGCTTATATTCTAGTGGTGGGAGGCTGTTAGAGAGACAAGGAAGGGAAAGTTAAAAAAAAAAAAAATAAACACACACACACACAATATATTTAGATGGTAAGTGCTAAGAAGAAAGAACAAACCAGTGAGGGGGTGTATTTGTTTTGTGGCTTGGTGTTTTCCAGAAGGAGGGTTACAAGAAGGTGAGAGAATTAAGCAGCTGTGGGGAGAAGAATGTTTCACGTACAAGGTCCTGAGGCAGCAGGACACCTGGAGTATGTGAGGGAACAGGAGGAACCAATGTAGCCGGAAAGAGGGAGCAGGGCCACAGGCAAGCGTGACCCCATCAGGGCAGCCCGCCAGGCTGCTGTGAGCACTCTGGATCAGATGGAAAGTCTGTGGGCAGTTTTGAGCTCTGGCTTCTTTAACAAAATCACTTTAGCTGCTGTATTGGAAACATGGCCAGGGTAGAAGCCCGCAGGCCTGCTAGATGAGAGCTGCTAGTGGCTAAGACCAAGGTGATAGCAGGAGAAGCTATAAGAAATAGGTGGATTCTGGGTATATTTTGAAACTATCCAACAGGTTTTGGGCCCAAGCAACTGAAGAATACAGTTGTCATTTCCTAAGGTGTAGACAACTTTAAGAAGAGAGGTTTGGAGTGGGACCATAGAACATCAAGAGCCGATTTTGAACAGATGACATTTTAGATACTATTAGACATCCAGGTGGAAACAAGTAGGTGGTTGTATATACTGGGATTTAGGGATAAGGCTGGGTCTGAAAATTTAAATTTAAGAATCATCGACACATAGATGTATAATAGTACAGACAAAACTGTGTAAGACTGCCAAGGGAATGAGATGGGTGGAGAAAAAAAGGGTCCAGGCACTGAATGCTGCCCGGCATATTCAGAGGTAGGCTACAGGAGGGGGAATTCGCAAGGACCCCTGGGAAGGGACAGCCTCTGAGATAGAAGGAAACCAGGGACTCGGGTACCTGGCTGCCAAGCAGAGGACCGGGCACCGAAAAGCTGTCTCAGGTGGTTCTTGGGTTTCATGGAACTCTGCTCTGCGATGACAGCAGTTTTTGTGGAAAGGGTGGGGGCAAGGAAAGCTTGGTTAGACTAAGTTCAAGAGAAAATGAAGAAGAAAGTTGAAGATAGCACACGCAGCTTTCAAAGACCTTTGGTATCTGGTACCCTACAGATACGATTCTGAATTTTCATACAACAGCCTCCGAGTGTGATACAGACTCTCTACTTTTAAGATTCTCTTTGACCAGTTTGTCTATTATTTAGTTTTGGCTCTTATGTCCCTGATCAGAGTTAAACCTGTGCATGTCTGCAACGCATGTATCATTTTACCACTTGGTCTCAGGGAGGTTCTGGTTGGGATTCCAGACCCAGGGCAGACTGTAATGAGGAAGGAGTATAAGGCCTGGAAAAGTCAAAGGAAAGAGATTTGAAAACAAAGCTAAATTCAGTCAAGAAGAAACATTTGGCCCACACTTGCCTCTCAATCTAAAGTAGTTTGGTTCTAGTTTAGTTCCAGATATTGTCTGTGGGTGGGCAAGTTTTAAGCAATAGAGGCCTGTGTACCTTTGTTGTTGGTAGTGGTCCTGAGCCCCCTCTGATTTCCCAGCGAATCGCCCCTCCAAACCCTTGCCCAGGTTCGCTGGCACATGGTCACAGACTTTGCTGCCACAATGAACATTCTATAATCCTGGGTCAGTGTCTGAGTAACAAATATTTATAAAGTGAGTTTACAGAGGAAGCCCCATTTGTCAGGAGGGAGAACCATAGAGAATACAACTTCATTAGCATTGTAAAGCAGTAAGGTGATTTCATATTGTTTCTGCCTGTGACCATAGTCATCATCAGGTACCGATCTGCCTGTTTGCTTTTTCCCTTCAGATTGCAACACCTGCCAGGTACACCGTGACTTTGGGGGGAACCTCCTTCACCGTGAAGTATCTGCGGAGTCGTGGCTACATGTCAACACCTCCTCCTGTGAAGGAGTATCTGCAGGATAAGATGGAAGAGACAAAGGAGCTTCTCACAGAGAAAATGGAAGAAACGAAGGATAAACTCACTGGAAAACTACAAGAAACCAAAGAAAAGGTTTCTTTCAAAAAAAAAGTGGAATAGGGTGTCTCGTATAAGAGGTTATAAACGATCCTGCACTTTCAGAGATTCATGCTCCTGAGTGTATTTTTTGGTTGGCTGCCTAACTATGCCAGTTCTCTGAGGGTTAAAGAACTAAGATAACCTTTTTAACATTAAGTGTCACTAGAAAAATCAGTGTTTTTTTGAAAAGAAAAAAATGAACCCAGTGTAAGAATTTCACATCTAAAGCAGCATTAAGCAGTGTTAATGTCTGATTCAGACACTTTTTTTTCAAGGTCCTCAGAAGCATGCTTGCTCATGTTTTGTTGCAGCTATACTTTAGGCAGATGAGGCAGTTGTCTTCTTGAATAACTGATGTGGCCCTAGACAGGAAGTTAATGCTAGTCTTCATCGTTATGTTATTCATTGAGGTTTTAACTGTATTCAGTTCTCATTCTCAGTATGGAGACAAACTTTTATCATCAAAACTGCCTATGAATAAGAGAATAGAGTTTCTATTTTTTAAAAAAGTGCTTAAACAGTTATATACCAGTTAAAATAATATCCTTTGTATAAAGAAAATTGAATAAAAATTGAGTCATTCGTGTAAATAAGATGTATTGGTTATATGTAAATGCAAAAAAACTGACCATTTAAAAATGTTTTTTACCTGAAACTTGTCATAATCAAATTTTTAAAGTAAAAATATATGGCCATTGTACCTTTTCACCTAGAACATAAAACTATGAATTGTTTGTGTCCTTTTCAACTAATTTTTCAGAGGAAAAGTGAAAGTAATTATTCTGTAAGTTCATTGTTGAAATCAGATGATCTTAGGCAGCGATTCAAGTTTGTGGTTCTCAAGAAAATACCACTTTGGAAGAATGGATTGTCACAGACCAGACCCACTTTCCCGCCACTAGCATGTCTTGTCTCCATAAGCCAGCGCTCTCTCCCGGTGTCTTCCCCTAATGTCTTCTCCCAGTTAATGGTGATCTCATTATGGAATATTCCAAAATTGTAGCTGCTGCTCTTTCCCTGATCAATATTGAATCCTTGCTTGAGCATTTCACTTGAAATTTTTTTATACTAAAACTATCATTAAATTATCTGCTTAAAATGAAATTCAACCATTGTCAGATTTGAAAGTTGTCATAATTGTGTGGGTGTGTTTCAGGTGTGTCTGTATCTGTTTAAACTGCTTTCTACTTCATTTCTCTCCCTTGAATTGATATTTGGAAGAGGAAATGGCGTCTGCCTAATATTGTCTGTTTAGATTATCAGAGGGACCAGACCAGCAGACAGAATCCTGCAAAAATCACTGCTATTTGGCAGGTTTTTGTATTTAATATTTAGTTTGGCCAAATTTAGAAAATACTTTAAAGGAAAAGGAATGTTTATATTTGATACATTTAATCATTATATTGGAACACCTCATAAATGAACATGCTGAGGTTGGAACTTCTTTTGTGGGTGCGGCAGAGTAGTGAGGGGAGGGCCGGGAGCCGTTGGTGTGCCTGGTGCCGTGCTGCTCAGGAGAAGGGTTAGTCCTCTTACGCAGAGTGGAACTTACGATTTCAAATTGACAGCACATTTTCAAATCTAAATATAATTGACAGTTTTAGCCTGTTTGTTAAATAATTCACATATTTTCAGATATTAAATGCTAAGATATTAACACATTTCTTGGTTTTTTTTTCTTATTTGTTTAAACACTTGAGACTTTGCCTTGTGTTTTAATATCTTGCATTATATAGAACTCTTCTAAAACAATTTCCTTTCACTCTGCCCTTTGCACTGGACATATTTTCCAATGGGGATACATTGTGGGTTCTTAGAAGATACTAATAATCCTGAGACTAAAACTTGATTTTCTTGAGTATCCCCCTTTTTGTTCAGTCCATTTGTTTTGCTGCCATCCAGTTTCATAATTATGTTGCATTTATTCGGTTATAGAAAGTGAGATGCTGATGGGTGCTTTGAAATTCTCTAGTAAAAAAATTCTCTGAATTCCTCACCAGTTTCTGCTGGCTAAAATCCAACCACCCAGACTTCAAAGGAAGATATATATTCTTTGAATGTGAAAGGTAAAACGTTGAGGTATATATACTTTTTAACTGTATTAGAGATATTTGAACCAGTTTCAAAGTGAGGTTTTTATTTATTGAATATACATCGTCAGAACCAGTGGTCCCTGTATCACTAAGTACCAATGTGGTCTGCTTAGTTAAAACCAGATCTTGCATCCCTTAATTTTTTATGAGGGTTGTTATTTTTGTAGTTATTATTTAGGGTTTCTAGTGTTTTCTTTTTCTATGCAACTCTCCACACTAAACTCAACATTCTGGAGAGTTCATGACATAACTCTACCAGTAGTGAGGTGTAGCAGGAATCTCCTGGCAGTGTGCTGGGGCTGTGGCTCGCAATGATCACTATTGATTTAAAGCTTTATTTAGCCTTCATCTGTACCCTCATAATCAATAATGTCTTGCCACATCTTATTAGTGAGGTGGAGAAATGTTTGTTGTTCTGCTGCCCTTTCCCCCAATATTAAACTGAAATTTGTCATTTGTTTAAACTGAGTGAATCATAGCTTAGTTCGCATGTCCAGCTATTTTGTTTCTTATACAAAATAAGATTGTTTGATTTTCCCCTTGGCTTTTACTACACACACACACACACCACACACATACACATTTATATATACTTTTTTCTTTCCTGAAAAGTTTTCTGACGCACAAGTTTTTCTCTTTGATTTGTGGACACAATGCTGAGGTTCAATAACTAAAGGAAATACTGGCCATGAAAACAAAACAAAAAGCCAAAGGGCTGTTTTTCCAAGTGTCCCCACCCCCACTTCCCAGGAAGCTACATGACAGTGGGATGCCAGTTTCAGAAAGATTCATCTTACCTTCAACTCTCTGTTCGTCTCCTTTCTTTTCTTCAAAAAGGAAATTGATCCTAGTGATTTCAGCCCATGCATTAAACAGGAAAAATAATACATGTGTAAAATTCATATTTTTCTAAAGGGAACTTAAAAAACTACTTGTACATGTTTGTACAAAACTGGTTTATACCATATGAACAGAATCACAAGATTAGCTATGGTACTTTGTTCCTCTTTGTATTCTCTTGTATAGAACTTCCAAATTCAAAATGAGAAAGAAAAGCTGTTCTATAGCAAACCATCTAAGCAATAAATATATTTGTAAACACCCCCCAAAATTCTGTGAAGATAGAAGTTCTTTTAATATTTGACATCAGACATATTTATATCGTGTCAAATGCTATTGCTCACATATTGCTAACCTGGTATTTACGGTAAAATACAAGTAGCTTAAAAGAGGACACCTCTAATATGTTGTATGAAGTTAAATTGTTAAGCTATATAGAGAATAAGTATATATGGTTTGCAATATATATCATAAGCCCTATTTCACTTATAATAAACCTTACCCCTTGGATTAATTGGCCCATAAATTCTGGGAGCTCCAAGGCAGAGAGGCTCCCCATCTAATCTGCATGTCTCTGTTTAAGTAGGGTGTGTTGACAAAGTCAAGAGGCTATGACTGAGGTTTAACTTTATATACATAAGTGGATGAAAAGGGTTTGCTCAGCAAATTAACAATTGAAATGAAAAAGATTAGCTAAGAGATGTGGTTTATTCAAGGATAATAGCAATGCCAAACTTTCAAAAACATGCCTTTTACTGAAATCTTTTGTGTACAAGTGCTATTTTCAGACCTCAAGAAAGGAGAAAAGGAATGCAAATACTGAGATTACTTCCTCCCAGTAGTGACAATAATATGCCTTCAAATGTAGTCTTCAATTTATTTTTTTACAAAATCTCCCTCCATTTATTTACAAATGAAAAATACTACTAGTAGAGTCCTGTGTGTTCCAGGATAAAATGAGGTATTGGCTGACTTATTTCAGTGATCTTAGAAGATAATTCCTGGAATTTAAAAGATCTTAATAGTTTGGGCAGAAGAAGTGCTTCCAAAAAAGAAGCAAGTTGCATATTAGGCCCATGTCGCTTTTTCCTGTGTTCTTTCCACAGGATTGGGCCATCTTTAGACAGTGTACTCGGGCCACTGTAGAATGTGGTGATGCTAATGAAATGGACAGGAGGGGATTTTGGCAAATAAGGCAGAATACTATGTGTGCACCTTTCATAGCATGTTTGAAATGATAACCTTTTTTTACAAAATATATATGAGAGATACACATTTCTGAATTATTAAAGGATTCTTTCTGAAAAATACTTGTTTTAATGGTAATGTAGACATATCTTCTATTGGCTACAGTTCATATTTTTTGAAAATGGGACCTTCATTTAATTAAGATTTTCAAAATTGTGTCTCTACATGGCCTAAAATAAACTAAACGTTACCAAAGTTGGAAGTATTTTTCAGTACTAAAAGCTTACTACTTAACTTTATCTGTGTCATGGTCGACAATGCATTGGATTATATTGGCCTATGTCCCCATGTACCATAGGAGGATTCATGTAGAAAAGTGTAGGACTCCGCCACCTTTGAATTTAACCTCCTGAACCAGAAAGCTATAGAACCAGAGGTAGGAACTTTTAACTATTCATTCTGCAGTATGAACTTGGTTCAGTTTCTATTGGTCCATCTGTATGTTATGTAGTAACAAGTCAGTATTAAATGGGATCCCAAAAGATTCTGCATCATGCAGCTGAACAGACTCAAGACTTCATTCTTCTTTTCTTAGAGATTTGAATGGGCTAGGACAGTGGTCGCCATCCAGTGGTCTGCGGACCACTGCTGATCCGTGAGGTCCAAAAGGTTGGCGACCGCTGGTTTAAGGAAACCTTTTGAGCAGCAGTTGCTAACCAGGGATCCTCAGACCACTGATGGTTTGTGAGGTCCGAAAAGTTGGTGACCACCGCTCTAGAACACTTACTCCTTCCCAGAATTCATCATCAGCCATACATTTTGCCCTGGCCCTCCAATGCTTGGAAGATCTTTCTCCCGCACATTGAGCTTGTAGGTTATATTTGAGAAGTGCTAAATCAGGCCAATTGGATATATTTTTCCCTCTGGGAGATTTTCCCTTTGTGACTTCTGTGTCAAATTGGCTTATTATAACTAGACAAAACAAGTTTTTGATTGTCTTGCTTCTTCAGGGTTAGGCTTTGAAAATCAAGCTGTATTCTTCCCTATGCATCATTGACAGTCACCAGCAATAATAATTACAGATCATGATTATCTTGTGACAGTTGTCTGCCTATTTTTATAAAAAACAATTTTAGTACAAAGAATGCATCTTGATTTCAGAATCCTTCAGAGCAAAGTAGAACGGAAGCCTCTTTATTCTGGATGCTTGAGTGGGACAGTTGTCATGGGGAGGCACACAGGCCGCTCAAGTCACAGAGAAGAGTGCTTGCCACCAATGCCAGCATCGTTGTTGTGTTTTCTCTGGGACCATATGGTCCATAAGAGCAGAAGTCCTGGGATGGTCAAGAGATGTTTCATATGCTGCCAAAATCAAAGTATATCTTTTTTAAAAAACAAAACAAAACACCATATTCTTACTGATTTCAGAGAGGGAGAGAGTAATATCGATGATGAGAGATCATCATTGATCTGCCTCCTGCATGTACCCCTAATGGGGATCGAGCCCGACCCAGGCATGTGCCCTTGACTGGAATCCAACCCAGGACCTTTCAGTCCACAGGCCAATGCTCTATCCACTGAGCCAAATGAGCTAGGGCTCAAAATGTATCTTCATTCTGTGTAAAAGTGAGGATTGCATAGAACCTTTTTTCCTCCCTCTGTACAACTTTCTGTTTTGAATTTTGACCAATTTAAATGTTAAAAAACTCTATTTGAAGTGAGACAGAAGAAGGTAAGTTTGCACATGCGCATGCCTGATGGGTGGCACACCAGTTCTTTCTCTCCGCCTTTCATGGATAGATCACGCACCCCATTCTTGGTAAGAGTGGGACCATAAATCTGCAGTTGTTCCCTGACTTTTTAGTTAAGTACGAGGGAAAGTTTGCCTTTTGTTATGATAATTACGTATCATAACATAACATGGAACAATGTTGGTTCTTCATCTTTCCTTATACCAATTAGACTCCTAAAAACTGAAATTAAAAACAACAGCATTTCCTCTACACACAGAAATCTGTTATTACCTTGTATGTACCTCTACTTGATTTGAGATTCTGCAACGATGAACCCATATTTGGGCTGTTTTATTGGACTTGAGTCAATATTTTCTTTGGACACTTAATAAGGTGACTTAATTGTCGCTGTTGCTTTACTTTTCTAAGAATAGTGGCTACTTTGGTTCTCTTATGCTCAGAGCCAAAAGTGAGGTCTGTGAAGTCCTCAAATGCCGGCTCTGCCTGCCCTTCAGCTCTGTCTGGAGATAGAATTACCGGGCTCGGTTGCCATGGTGCTCCACCAACATGCACTTTTTATTCCCCTGTTGAAGAAGATGCAGGATATGGTGGGTGGTAATTTGCATTCCTCTCAGAAATAAAGGACAAGTCTTAGTTTCCCCAAAAAGCTGAAAATATTATCAAACACTTCAGTTCACAAAACCTAATCGACTTGTTGAGAAATCTAGACCATTTAGCAACTGCATTATTTTGGAAGCATTTTAGATTAATGAGTTTTGAGACCAACCCCCAAGCTTAGAGAGGTTTTATACAGAATTTTGCCATTAGTGGGTCATTGTAGGAAACTGAGGCCAATATTTTTACTTGAAGGAGGCACAGGAGAGCTGGATCTGAAATTTGGGGGAAAAAATCAGCTTCCAGTTAATATTTTCCCTCTCATCTGGGCACTAAAATAAAGCAAGCCTGTGCTTTGGAACTTGAAATTCTTTTGTGTGTGTGAAGCTAAAGCCAATTTGTTAACATTCTTTACCCTCTTTTCTGCTGGTGCCTTCCATCTTACTTAGGCTCTAGGTAATTTTTCTTTAGAATGACAGGAGGAGGAGAGTAGCTTTTCTGCTCTCTTAGTGTGATCACAGAAAGGAAGCTGCCCCTTCCTCCTCACAGGCTTCAGCTCAGTTCTCTCTAGAAGGGAAGGTTCCCCGCAGGCCAGCTCAGGGCCAGCGGGTGTCTTGTTACTGTCTAGGCTGTCCTTGGCAAAGCAGTTGGTAGCTATTTTCAAAAACCTAAATCTACGCTTGAGAGCAAGTAATCTAAACTTTGCTAACTACATCTCGTCTTCATACATCGGCACACGTTTAATATTTCACACATCCTCAGAGGATTTGACCTCGGGAAATACGCGACGGCCCCCTTGGTAAAAGTGAGCCTGCTTTTTCCTGGGGCCCTGGGTGGCGGGTCACGACGCTGAGCGTGATATCTGAGCCTGCATTTGCGGCATACTTGGAGCCAGCTCAGACTGGAATTTTCCATTTACTTGGGGCCAAGCACTCGAGCATCGGAAGCGACCAGACGCGGGCGTTGGTGGAAAATGTTAGCACTGAGAAGTTCAGTAGTACATCCCAGATGGAGAATTTTTGTTTTCACCAAAGGGCAGAGACTGGCCTCTCTGAATCCCATGAAATGACCAACCCTTAAACCACATGTGTCAAACACAAGGCCCGCGGGCCAAATCCGTCCCGCCAGGCCTTGCCATGTGGCCCGCACCGCGCTGTCATCACTGCACTCCGCTGCGTTTCCATCACAATGACAGTTTATGACTGTTCAGTAAACCATTCGGCCCGCGATTTAGGCTGGATTTTAGATTTTGGCCCCTTCTCTGATTGAGTTCGACACCCCTACCTTAAACCCTGGCAGCTCTGCGATACCAAGAAGTGGTAGAGAAAAGCTGTGTTCTTCGCAGTGTTACTGTTCTGTGGGCTCTGCGAGGCACAGTGTCTAATGGGTCGGATAAGCTAACACTTGTCAGGCTGAATTTGCCTTGTGCCCCTCTGTCACTCACGTGTGGGTAGCATGCATGCCCATTTCACAGATCCACAGCGAGGGTGGTGAGCACCACACAGGATCCTGTGGTGGGCAGCCCCTCCGGCTGAATGCAGAGGCCTGGGCGAGTTGCAGCCTCTTGCCTGTCCCTCTCCTTTAGCTTGCTTAGCTGTCACCCTTGCAGGAAGAGACCAGCAGGTGGTGAGAGAAACGTCAGCATTGAGAAAAGGAGAACATGTATGTTTAGAGGAGGTGGATGGGAAGACAAAAGACCGAGTGCTTGTTGCTAATGTTCCAGCAGAGAGGGATGGTGCTAATATTAGCAAAGAGGAGTGAAGAGCATGGCACGGGTTCCAGATGTGAAAAGGCCGAGGAGCCCCGAAGTGCAGGAGCCTGAGGTTCACCCGGGGTCTACTCCAGGTCTACGCTGGGGAGGTGAAGAGGACGCTCAGTAACAGTGCTCAAACCAACATGTAAAACTGTCTACTCTCCCCTTGGAACCTCACATTTTATTACTAAGGCCTCAAGAAATACTAATTCCTCCCCCCAGCCTCCCACCATGTGGTTCATTGACCAAAGATTCTGTACACGTCTAGAATAATGATGGAAATAAATAGATGTGTTTTACTTACAGCCTACGGGGAGAAGTTTCAGGCCTAATGATTTAGTTACTTTGACCTTGGGTACTCCCGCCTTATATGGTACTAATTGCTAGAGCCGTGGACCGCAAACTGTGGCTCACGAGCCACATGTGGCTCTTTGGCCCCTTGCGTGTGGCTCTTCCACAAAATACCACGGCCTGGGCGAGTCTATTTTTGAAGAAGTGGCATTAGAAGGAGTTTAAGTTTAAAAAATTTGGCTCTCAGAAGAAATGTCAACCGTTGTCCTGTTGATATTTGGCTCTGTTGACTCATGAGTTTGCCGACCACTGCCTGAGCATTAAAATTGGTGCCCGTTTCTTTCACTGGCATTTGAAGCTGCAGCGGTTAGAAGAGCGAGCGTTCCAGGACAAAGTGCCGTTTACAGGTCTGTAGTAATTGGGCAAAATGTTTTTTAAATTAAACCTGGAATACGAAATAGCAAAGCAATGGCAGCTCCCTTCCTTGTTGAGGGCCTGCATGGCAAGCATGCTTCCTCCTCAGGACTTCCCACTGGTGAAGTACAGGTGACCTTCCTTCAGCGACCTTAACTTGAGGCAAACGTAATATTAACCCGTTCAGGTCTGGGACCTCCAAAGCCTGTGTTGCCACTTAACTAAATAGGAAATCTCCCAGGAGTGGGACAGGGGCTAAGTCACCTGTGAGTCCCATGCCAGAGTCGGGCATGACAAATGGAGCCCTCATTCAGGCAGCAGCACGGGGTGAAAGAAAAGGAAGTTTACGTGAGTCTTCGCTTCCCTCCGGGATAGCACATTTGGGGAAAGTTCTTTAGTACTCTCAGCTAGTCTCCTGAATAAGGCTACGGAATGTATTGCAGAGCATAGTGTGGTTTATCAGTGACTATGTGCTGTTTTCAGGAAAAGAAATCCTCTCTTGTAGTTATTTTCCTCCTTATAGCTTTCTAGCTCCCTTTCTAAAATAAAATAATTCAGAATCTAAGATGGGAGTTATGGCTAGAGCTTTTAGCTTTAGTTGTATACTTATTTAAACGGCGTCTTTAAGATTTCATTTTCATTACTAACATAGAGAAATGCAAACACAAGTTGTATTTCCTGCCGCCACGCTCATCTCACTTATTTAGTAGTTTGGTAGATTGGGTGATGTTTTTCTACATCGACAGTCATGTCATCTGTGACGCCATACACTTATTTAGAGCTCAGACATAAAGCCCTTCTAACCTCTCAGGGAAGGGAGCTGGGTTCTTTGTTCCATTATCAGGGGCTGAAATCCCCGGGGCCCTGGACCTCCAAGGCAGCTGTCCCGCTGGCGGACAGGTCTTATTGTTAGAAATCTGTTCACCTTTGTGAGAGTGAGTGGACCTCCGTTGCTCTGCGACAGCCCCGCAGACACTTGACGACGACTGCACGTTCCTCCCCAGGCATCTCAGCTCAGGTGACACAGCTCTGTGGTCCTCCTGTGGTGAGACCTGAGCAATCCCTGGTGCGCTGTGGAGAACACACAATTGAGAAAAGCATCATATGGTGTGATTGGCCAGAGCTGTTCATAGAAGATTATAATGATCTTTTTAAAAGTCCGAATAAACAATGCAGAATGGAAAGATTAGCCAGGGACCATAGAAGTGTGTGAGATGGGTTTTAAAACTTATGTAGTTCCCATCCCCATTCCACCCCCCACATACAGACACACCCATTCACACATGTGCTTTATTTTTGAAAGATTAAAAAACAAACTAGGAGACACATAAGTCACTGATTATTTTTAATAATTTTGTGCTGTGGTTGGACCATAGCATTACGAACAAGCAGAAAAAGCTGATTTCATAGCTTTAACAGCACTTGGAGCAACATCTCTCTTTAAAAGTATTGCAATGACAGACCTTAGGCCTAAGAACTACATCGCCAGTGCTCAGTTAAAAAGAGGCAGATACACAACAGTTGGAGATCTTTTTTAGTACATAATTGGGAATTATTTTGAAAAGTAAGCACAAATGGCTGTTAAAAAAAAGACTTTAATGACTTCTGATTATTATAACTCATATGATCAACTTGAAAAGTTCAAATACAGTTGTACTTTTTTAGTAGGCTGCTTTATAATAATTAAATGAACTAAATGCTGTGAATAGTATTACATGTTTTAAAACAGCTTCACACTAGACAAATATACAATTAGAAAACGTGATATATGAAAGCCATGAAATGAAAAATAACAATATACCAATAAACACATTAAAATGAACCAGTATCATTAACAATAAAGTTTAAGCCTTAATTAGTTCTGTAGAGAGAAAAGCCATGATGTGGTAACAAATGTTAGTACCTCTGAGTCCAGAACATTCTCTGACACCCACTCTCAACAGTTCTCCCCAGAGATCAAACCTGGGGTGGGGTGGGGGATGTGGTTCCTGACAGCCATGAGCCCCTCTTTTTAATGCTGAAGCCTGGGGAACCCTGCAGCAGACAGTGGGGTTGGACAGGAGCGAGAACACACGAGATATCGATCTTTTGATGGATCTTTCAAAACAGATAATAAAAGAAGGGCTGACTTTTAGTCCATTCAGCATTAAGAGCTGCATTGTAGAGGCATTTTCAGTTTAAGGATAATCGGTAATAATTTGTTCTCTGGCAGGAAAGGGTGTGATCCTATTGTGATTTGCAAGATCAGAACTGACACCACCAAGCAAATAAAAACCATGGCACTTATCAGAATTAAGATCCTCCAGGGACAGACCACTGGAAAGGATGCTCACACCCATGTTCAACAGTGGTTTAGTGAGCACATTGTTATCGGCTCTTTTTTTTTTTTTTTTTTTTTGTAACATTAGAATATTTGCAAATAAATGCAGAGGGCACACTCAGAAACTAAAAACCGAGCTAGAAGAGAGATGTGACATCATGCAACTGAAAATGTATTCCATAACTTGTGGCAAAACCTAGTTTATTTTTTAGATCAAGATCACCACGAGACACCAAAAGGAATGGACATAAGATTCCCAACTCGGCTGGCTGATAGCTAGTTCTCTGCTAACATAACCCATAACGAGATTTTTTCGAAGAATGGGGTCCTAAGTGGATTCATGTTTCCTGAGGTATGCTTTCCCTACAAACCCTCCGGTTATTTCACTGGCTCCACAGCTTCAGTTCGTGAAGGAGAAAGGCAGAGAGAGAGACTCGGGACCCAGATGGTCCCAAATGCCCCCATCCTGAGCAAGGCGGCCCTCCGCTGCAGGCCCCCTGACTCTGGATGTGATTTTTGCAAAATGTGCACTTTCTCTGGGGTCTGACATCACTCTCCCACACAACATGGATGTCTTCATAAAACAGGCTGAAAAGTTAATTTTTTTTTTTTTCTTCTAACACTGGTCCAACTGAGCGTTAAGAGCTGAAAAGAAGAAGCATCTAATGGCAACCAAAAAGCTATGGAATTTTTTTTTTAAACTTATATATATTTTTTAAAGTGTTTTCACAGCAAAGATGCAACTCTCCATTGCTATGCATACGCTGGTCATAAACGGCGGCTTGCTTGTTCAGACTTCTTTCCCTTGTGTTATAATATTGGTATTTAATAGGAAAATAAACTACATAGACTTTTTTTTTTTTAATCTGTAGGCATCCATTTGCAAATTTCCTTACAAAAGAGGACAAAGCACATAGGCATTCACAAGTTCTATGCCATTTCTGTTAAAATTGGTATCTATACATTATAGTACAGTATTAACAATGTATGTTCTACCCATTGGGTAGGATATGTGCATAATATATTCAAGTTATGTACAGCACCTTACAAAGAAAAAACGTAAGAAGAGACAGACCACTGAAGAAGCACCATTGTCAGTGAGGCACAACCAAGGTGGGAGCGCGGATGCGGCGGCGGCTAAACCCAGGACGTGAGACAGGGCAGCTGCGGAGACCTAGGGGCATGCAGAGCTCCCGCAGGACGTGGGTCCGTGGCCCATGCACGTGGCGTGTGGCGATCCTCGTGCTCCGTCTCGCGCTAAGCCCCACCACAGACCATGTCAACAAGCACACACCGAGGGGGAGGAAGGAAGGGAGGAAGGAAAGGGGTGAAAGGAAGACGGTGCTTTCGCAGCAAGGCATCCACCCACACACGGCAGCTTCCCAATGCAGCCAACCCCGAAAGCAGCAGCAGCAGCAGCAGCAGCGAATGTCTGTCTAACCCTGGCAGGAACTATAAACGTGAACTAGGCAAAAGATGCAGCACTTTGGGGAGTCACATGGCCTAAGCTGAAATGGAGGGGGTCCCCCGGCGGGAGGGTGCTTCCCGTTCTCCATCCACCTCTCTGATCCCTGGCAGCTGGCAGCACGGTTACATCTGCAATAGGGAGGTGAGCCACCGTCAGACCCAGTGCTCCTCACCGGGAGGAGGGAGGCCTGCCCGCCGCCGCTCAGTCTTGCTACTTTATCTGAACTACCACAGCCCAGTCATCGAGGTGAAGGTAAGCAGAGCGGGAGCCCGCGTCCCTGCACTTCAACCGAGGTTGGGGATGCTGGCGGCAAGCCAGGCGGACTTGGGGGGCCCTGCCACCGTATGAAGACACGGCGCCAAACACGGGCATCTTTTTGCTTTTCGTCGCTGAGACACAATCAACACGTTAACCAAAACCAAGTATCCTTCCCAGGTTTTTTCCATCAGACACTGCCGAGCTTTTGAAGTGTTCAGAAAGACGAATGGCATGCCCACGGACATGCAGTGACTGTCGCCGTGCTCAGTAGCAAACCTCAAGAAGCAAGCAGCAGGGCGGCAACCCAGCCAGGAGGCGGTTCGGGCGTGCAGCAGGCTGCGTGGCCACGGGCGCACGGGCGTTCCCTTGCGGGGCAGGGGCCGGCCGGGCCTCTCTCTTTGCGATGGACCGGTATCTAAAGGCCACGGCACCAGGCCTCATCCTGCAAAGGACTTCCTGGAGACAAGAGCCAATAGATGGAAGATGCAGGATCACCCCTGCCAGGATGCAGCTACGGGTTGCGGGAGGAAGGCAGGGATTATAATGGATTCTTCTAGATAACAGAAGCTTTCTGAAAGTAGTGGCCGAAGATAAAGGTGAAGAAGATAAAGGGGAAGAAGATCAAATGGAGATAAAGAAGCTCAAGGAGCACTCATCTGAGTGCCACATCCCCCTGTGGGCGTTAGAAGGCCCCCTTTCCCCGCCTGTGAGCTCAGTGGCTGTCTATCTGTGCTCCCTCATGACCAATCTTTGTCAGCTTTAAATATTCTTCTCCACAATCTTGGAATTCCTTGCTGATGGTGTGCCTGTGTGTAGAAGAGATGGGGGAGGACAGAGGACATGCTTGTCAAGCTTCCTTAGCACGGAATTTTGGTCAGAAACACCAAGCACAGTTTAACGTTTTAAACGCATCCTTTGTTGAGCACAATCTCTTTGGGGCTCAGGACTGCTTCAGTGTCTGAAGAGCACGAGACTTTCTGAAAACACAGACAGACACCTGCCTGGGGGCCGTGCTCCTGTCAGTGGAACGCAGCATGTGCTGGGCGGCTCTGGAACGGAGGACAAGCCACAGCAGGATGCTCAGAGTCCCCTCCCAGCAGCCGCACTTTTGAACTTGCAAGTCTTTGTCTCAACTCTCTACTGAGGTAATCAGCCCGTCACTGATGGTCTCAATCACTGCTTTCTCAACGGGGTGCTCGGGCTCCGTAAGCACACAGGCTTCTCCCACATCAGACCCCCCTCCATCACCCCTCTTTCCACACCAGGCCAGCGAGGAGCAACGCGGTGTGAACAGGTCAGCCGCCCCCTTCCAAAGAGCTACTGGTCTAAATCACCCCTTCCCTGTGCCAAAGGGAAATTGACTATTAATTAAGTTTATGGCCTTGGCTTTTAAGCTAATTCATTCCAGAGGCCCAGCCTCAAGACCATTCAAGTTCATGGTTTCGTATGTCCCCGTCTTTCAATAACTATTGGGCTTAAAGGGCAATTCTCTAGAGTGGCCGAATGGGAGGAACCTCTCTTTTGAAGGGTGATGACCTTTACTTGAATTCAATATTTGTTTTTGCCAATACTGTGGGCGCCTGCTGAACATCCACATACTTGCAAGGCGACTAAGAATTGACAAGTTTCTGACAGCAGTTCCTTCTTGCAGCAGGTAGGAGAGTGAGGGACTGCAAAGCCATTCTGAGCTGGAGTTCCGGGGTGGGCTCACCTGCTTTACCAAAATAGCCGGCGAGGTTTGGAATGATGGTATCATTAGCTGACCTCGCCATTTTTCATCTGAGGGGACACCAGCACCACCACCAGGGCTCCTGACAGGAACAAGTGCTCCCTGACCTTCACCTCAGGGTGAGACAGAGCTCCATCCGCAAAGAGCGCCAGCTTCCCTCAGCACAGGCGTGGGATCCAGGCAGCGAGCTGCCCGGGGAGGGGTCCCCAGGGGGCTCTGCCCAGTCTTAGGATTCCACTGCGGCTCTTAGCACACACACGTCCCAACAGAGTCTGTTTATTCTCTTCTTCTAAGAGTTTGGCTAGTTCTGTGGCTGTTCCTGGGTGAAATGAGTCAATTTAATGAAGAGGCCAATCCTCCAAGCAAAACAAAAACCAGCGGCAGGCAGGAGCAGAGGGCAGGGGACAGGACGTGCAGCTCAGAACAGTCTCTCCAGCCCTCGGCCGACAGCACCAAGTCACCTCACTGACAGATCGTCTGAGACCCACAGCCAGATCCGAGCACATGTGTCATCCCACCTTAAAGCTGCGGCGGTCATTGGTTATATGCAGAGGGAAGGGGATGCACCCGCACAGAGCAGGCGGTGGGTGGCGTTGGCTGAACTTGTTGGCTGGTGCTATTACAAAAGCCAGATGCTTTCTTCCCCAAAAGAAAGCGTTTCTTTTACCTAAGAACACGTTTGTAAATACCAGGAATATTAAAACTAAAACTAACAGCATGTAACATTAGTTTCTAGTTGCATTTTAACTGCATGTTGTGCTTTGAATCCTGTGCTTTTGGAGTCGCCCCCTGCCCTGCCTGCCCAGCCGTGGAACTGACCGACCGTCCAGTTCTGGCCACATGCAAAGGCTGCACGAACTACCGCGGGAGTCTGGGCTGTGAGCACAGCATCCCCCCGAGAACGCTGCATCCACACTCGCAAAGGGCAATGGCTTGTTATCATGCTCAGCAATGTGGTGTCCCCCGCCAATCCCAGGAGTTTCCCAAGAAGAAGTCACTACCAGCACCGCTCACACGCTGAGGCCGGCGGGCTCCATGCAGAGCAATCACCGAGGGCCCCTCGGGCACTGACCAGCCGTCCAGCACTGAACTGAACTGTCTCGAAAAGGGAGCCGACACCAGGAATACACTGAGAAGTGACATATTCCAACAGCATTCAAAATAACCACTTTGCATTTTAAACAATTTATTGCATAAAATAATGTATGTACGAGCCTACTTCATGCTACAGTGAAAAAAAAAACAAAAAACAACCACACCTAAATGACTGAAGAACTACCACTGCTGGAGGGCGAGGGCACTGCGATACTGGATGCGTCAATGCCTGTGACGGTCACTTTACCAGAACAGGCGGCCTAGGCCAGCAGAGTGACTCAGCGAGTCCTCGGTGCTGGACCTCAGCGTTCCTATCTCACCCCCACAGGCCCCCATGCTGCAGACGCCCTGCCCTCTGCCGCAGACTCTCACAGCAGGAACCGCCTTCTGGGGGGACCTAAGTTGACATGTTCACCTACGTCCCCAAACATATCTCTTCTTGCACAATTATGGGAAGCACGCCAGGGTATTCCTCGGGCCTAATAATCCACAGGTGAAAAGACAACATACAGAACGTCACCTAAAACAGTTCCCTCATATATATTTTCAACATTAAGATAGTGCAACTTTTTAAAAACACATCATCATAACAACACAAAGTCAACTCCTTGCATTCGTCGAACTCCCCCACTGTTTCCTTGGCACACAAAAAACGGGAATTTTTGAATCATATTTTTAAAACAAAATAAGAGTTCCACACCTTGGGAGAAAAAGCAAACTGGCCAATTCTTCCCCGTGATAATATATAATAACGCTTCCTTCTTTATTTAGTTAATTATAAATTTAAGGCCATTCTGGCCTCTTTCTCTGCAGTCTCCTTTCATAATTAAATAAATCAAATACCTCTGGGTTTCATTTCATGATAGAGTCAAAGCACCCCTTTCTCTGTTCCCATGCCCACCCCCCTTTGCCAATGCCACCCCCCCCTCCCGACACCTGCCCCCTTTCCCCCACCCCCCCAATAAACACTGTTGACGGTCAGACCAGATGGAAGTTGGTATTGTTTCAGTCTGGTTTGCATGCAATTCCCCTGGAAGGAATCAGAAACAAAGACCACATTTGCATATTTGGTTTTACTTAGTTGTCGCACGTAAAACTGAACCCTGAGCCCGGGAGCCGAGGAGCTGTGCAGTCCTCCTTCATCCTCGGTCTCTTCTTCTCCGCTCGAGTGCATGCTGGAGGATCAGACGAGATTCCCAGGCTTCCTGTCCTTGCCCTGGATGGGCACCACGGTGCCCCCCGAGCCGTCGTGCCGAAGCGGCAGGCTGCCCCCGCTGTGCGTGCTGCTGTGCTGGTGATGGAAGAAAGAGGCTCCTGGGTAGTGGCCCATCACCTCGCTGTAGGTCGGGGGCGGCCCCTCCATCCTCCCGTTACTGCTGCAGGTGCTGGCACTTATGCCCGAATTGCTGCTGGGCGGGCACGGCCCTCCGTTGTACACGGAGATGTCTATCAAGTCGCTGTCGAATATGGTCCGGTTGGGCGGGGCCCTCACAGATTCTCGGTTGAGTTCCATCTGCTGTTCGGGGTCCCTGAGCTGCAAGGTGCAGGGCCCCTGGTAAGGAGGCGGCTCCTCCCCGTCAGACAGGGAGATGGTGGGGGGGAGGTCAATCTCGTGCTGCACGTAGGGGTAGGTGGGCTGGAAGCGGCTGAACCGGTCCCTCTGGATAAAGGACGGGGCAGTGAACCTGTCCCGAGACCGTGGGGCATACATGATCTGCAAGGAAAAGAGCGAAGGCGTGGAGACATTCTTGGCTCAGTAATGATCAGACACGATGCTACAAGAACATCCCCACGTGGTCTGTGTTCTCAACCGTCTGAAACGGTTTTCCCCCCCAACAAAACAGGAAAAGATTATCCCAGACAAAAATGGAGGTATATTATTCCCCATGAGTTAGACCCCCTCGCCTTGCCAAACTGTAGTTTATCCAAGATGGTTCAACAGTGGACAATGCGTGTAACTGAAAATGTGCGTTTAATGCATATGCTATGTGTATGCTGCACTGGGCCAAGGGTGTGTGTGTGTGTGTGTGTGTGTGTGTGTGTATCCACCCAGTGACTTCTCCCACATCATATTTTTAAAATAAAGACAAAAAAAACTATGTTACTTTTAGGTCATTCTATTAAACTTGGAGATGTGGGAATGAATCATGCTATATTTACCGTATACACTATGCCCGCTTCTGCACAGCCTCCTTGTTTGCAGCTTATGGGGTCACGTAAAGATCAGTGATTCTCAACCTGTTTTCTGTAGGGAGCTCTAAACTAGCACAAATAATTCATAGGAGACACTAAAAATCCCCTCCCCCACATTAAAAACCAAAGTTAAGGGCAAATGCCTTAATTTAAATGTTATTTTGTTATTTCCTAATCTACGCTGTCATACACTTGACTTTTCCACCTATTTTGTTGTGATGGCATATTTCCCTCCTCCCCTTGCCCATCACATCGGGTTGAGCAGCCATCTGCAGCCACCCACATCCCTCCCTTGTCCAACTCCTTACCTCTGAGCCACCAGGCTGAGGACCAGAGCTGTCTGAAGGCCACAGGCGCCCTTCCTGGCAGGGGAGGGAGGGGGACATCACAAGAAAATCATTAGTTTCATGCTGCAGCACCTGAAATCAAGGAACCACATTCCTCTTGCACAGTAGCAGACCTGTTTTAGTCACAGAGCAACAAAGAACTGGTCCTTTCATTACACCGAAGTTATTACAAAAACAATCTCCTCATTACACAAAAGGAGAACTGTGGCCAAAAGGAAAATTAGAATGTACGTGTTTGACATACATTCCAAATGTCATCAAACCGTATTCAGTCACTGCCTAGATTTGGGTAGAGTCTGGGTCTTTAAGCTCTTTTGTTAATTCTCATCAGAGGAGATAATATATATATATATATATATATATATATATATATATATATATATATATATATATTTTTTTTTTTTTTTTAGAGAGAGTGGAAGGGAGGAAGGGAGAGAAGAGAGACAGAGAAACATCAATGTGAGAGAGACACACCAACTGGTTGCCTCATACACTTGCCCCAACCAGGGCGAGGGAAAGAACCTGCAACCCAGGTATGTGCCCCTGACTGGGAATCGAACCCGTGACCCTTCCATGCTCAGGCAGACACTCTAACCACCAAGCACACCGGCCAGGGTTGGGTGATAAGCCCTTTCGCAGGTGCGTGGCCATGCCGGCATGCCAGCCAAGGCCCTTCTGAAGTGCGCTTTGAGGTAAGCAGCAGCACACGTCAGGCACCGCCCGCCACGCTGTGCTTTCACACTGAAAACGGAGGTTCCAACGCCTGGCTGGCCTTCGAGGGTCTAGCCAATTTATTCTTCAGTCCCTTCATTCCCAAGGCAGATGTGACCTGACATCTAGCTGTTTAACATCTTTTTTCAAAAGTGTGTGGCCAGGCTGTCAAGGTGGCAAGCTTTTCTAACACCATAGACTTGTTTACAAAGCACTTCAACGTGTTTTCCCTTTTGAGCCCAAATTGTTGGCAAAGGCCTGTGATTGTCCTGAAGAGAAGAACGTGGGCGAGCAGGAGCAGATGTCCGCGTTTTTGGATTCCCAGGAATAGTCATACATGACCTTGTGCCATCACTGAGCCTCCCGAGAACCTGAAAGAGCCCACAAGTAGACCTGCAAGGCAAGACACCCCTACGTCTCTTCTGCATTTTATAGGTAAGGTGTAGCATTCTAATACAAACACCCCATTTGGACAACAGGATGTCTGTCCAATACATACAGCCTGATCCTACGATGGTCCTTGCAGAACAGCATGGACTCAGCGGCAAAAACAGGAACAGACCAGCAGCGTTTAGAGGAAGTCTGGGCTTAAGGTTTGACTATAAAATTATGTAATGGGCCATCATGACTCTGACCTGGCGACAGGTGACAGACCTCATCAAATCTGAGTAAGCGGCTGAGCCACAACCACGGAAAGCCCTGCACCAGGCCAAGGCAGCTTGCATAGCACGTCAGAGCCTAGGCTCCTCTGAACCAAGAGGAACCATCACTGTAAGTCTGGGCTGTCACAGCAATTCTCATATTGAAAACAACATACACACTCATCCTGGGATGCTTCTAAGACTCTGCCCTAGCTCCTCAATGAACACTCAGTCTTACATTTCACCCAGTTCACATCAATTATTAAACCTATTCAGCACTTTCCGGCCCTCCTCTCCCCTGGCTCCCTCTCTTGTTGGCTGAGACATCACCCCTCCTGGTCCACACCTGACTTCTCTGGCCACTTTCCTGCTCTTCGGGGGATGCCCCTAACTCTGCATTTTGGTTGAATGTTGGAGTTCCTGAGAGCCATCCCCCCAGTCCACTACCAGGTGTATCTCTGGCCACTCTGAGAAGTGGCACCTTGGGTCTGTGCTGGTGGCAATTTTGAAATCTCCTCCCTGACCTAACCTTCTCCTTGAAGGCAAGCATTTGTCTTGTTCATTCTTAGTTCACTCATAGACTTTACTTGTGTCTATGCATCTATACTAACACTGAATGTTGACTGGTCGAATGGTTATTTTGGTCGTCATGGTCACTGCCTCTATGTATATATAGAGGCTGGCTCATGGAGCCCTACAACCTGCTAAGTGCAAGATGGAGAGCCAGGAAAGCTGGTGGTGGTATAGTTCAATCTGAGACTGAAGGCCTGATGGCCACTGGTGTAAGTCTTAAAGTCCAAGAAGCAAGAACTCCAATATCAGAGGGCAAGAGAATAGAATGTCCCAGCTCAAGAAGAAAGAGAAATTTGCCTTCCTCCACCTTTTTGCTCTATTCAGGTGTTTGGGGAATTGGAAGATGCCGTCCTCACTGGTGAAGACAGATTTTCTTCATCCAGTCTACTGAGTGAATGTTAATCTCTTCTGGAATTATTCTCCCAGAGACAGCAGAAATAATGTTTTGTCAGTCATCTGGACATCTAAGCCCACTCATGTTGACACATAAAATTAGTCATCACAATTAGTGATACTGAGCTCTTTTCATCTGGTTTTGTATATCGTCTTTGTAAAAATGTTCTATTCAAGTCCTTAGTCTATTTTGAAATTGGGTGGTCCATTACTTTGTTGTTGAGTTTTAGTTCTTTATATATTCTGAATATTAACCCCAACCAGATATATGATTTGCAAATATTTTCTCCCATTCTACCAGTGGCCTTTCAATCTACTGATAGTGTCCTTTGACAAACCAACGTTTTTAATTTCTAAAGGTCAATTTATCATTTTTGTTTTGTTGCCTGTGCTTTTGGTGTCATATCCAAGAAATCATTGCCAAACCCAATGCCATGAGTTTTCCCCCACTACTTTCTTTTAAGAGTTTTAACTCTTACATTTAGGTTTTAGTTCCATATTGAGTTAACTTTTTGAATATGGTGTAAGATATGGGTCCAAGTGTCATTATTTTGCATATGGATATTCAGTTTTCCCAGCACCAATTTTGAAAATACTGTTCTTTCTCCTTAAATAGTCTTGACACCCTTGTCAAAAATCATTTGACCATATATGGGAAAGTTTATTGCTGATCTCTCTCTTCTATCCCATTGTCTTTCTTTATGCCAGTACTGTACTGTTTTTGTTATTGTGGCTTTGCAGTAAGTTTTGAAATCAGAAAGTGTGAAATGTCCAACTCTGTTATTCTTTTTCAATATTATTTTTGGCTATTTTGGGGTGGTGCTTCTTTGAGGTAACACATGCATTTTAGGATGGACTTTTCTATTTCTGCAAGAAACATCATTGAGATTTTGATAGGGATTGCACATGTTTTTTATTATGTTGAGGTAATTTCCTTCCATCCTAGTTTGATGAATGTTTTTATCATGAAAAAGTGTTGTATTATGTCAAATATTTTTTTCTGCATGATGTGGTGATCATGTAGTCCCCTCCACTTCATTCTGTTAATGTGGTGTATTACACTGATTTTTATTTGTAAAACCATCCTTACATTACGAAAATAAACCCCATTTAGACATGGTGTATAATTTTTTTTAGTATGTTACTAAATTTAGTTTGCTAATATTTTGTTGGGGATTTTTGCATCAATATTCATAAGGGATAATGATTTTCTTTTCCTGTTGTGTCTGGCTTTGGTATTAGGGTAATGCTAATTCACCAGCGTTTGAAAGTATTGGTGTCAATTCTTCTTCAGATGTTGGTACAATTCACCAGTGAAGACATCTGGTCTAAGGATTTTATTCGTTGGTAGGCTTTTGATTACTAATTCAATCTCTTTAATAGTTACAGATCTATTTAGATGTTCTATTTCTTCATGATTCAGGCTTAGTAGGGTGTGTTTCTAGGAATCTGTCCATTTCATCTAGGTTATTCAATTTGTTGATATACAATTGTTCATAGCACTCTCTTATAATCTTTTTTATTTCTATATCTCTTGGATCTTCTTCTACCCGAAGGATAGGTTTATAGCTGTGGCCATGACTCACTGGCACTTCCATTGTGAACTGTGGCTGAAGCCTGGGGCCTTGGGTCCACGTGGGAGGCCACTCCCACAGCTTGAACCTTCTTGGTTTTATGCTCAGCTAATCTCTCCTTTCCACACATCAGGGACCACAGACAAGGCCATCAGATTTGGGGACTGAAAACATCTAACATGATGTTTTCCAAACTGTGAGATGCAACCTCTCAGAGAGCTAGAAAATCAACTTAAGTAGGTCACAGCCAGAATTTGAAAAATGAAACAGGATGGAAAATATCATTGTCTGTAAGTACTGTTTGATGAAAGTTTTTGCTTTAGTTGTGCATATGAGTATTGTAGATCGTGGTATAAAGTGTGTCTCTACTGTTCTTCTTGGTCAAAAACAATCTGAAGTTCTCTGATCTAAGCCAATTATTCCTCATTTTATGTGGGAGGAAACTGGGGCCCCAAAAGGGTATATTACTCACTGAAGGTGACAGTTAGTTTGTGGTAAAGCAAGGCCATGGGTGGATATTTTGGCTTCTACTCAAGGGTTCCTCCCAAAGAATGCATGTATTATACAGCTTCAAATATTTGGAAATCTATTTTTCTTCTTGTCCCAGGGTGAGAATTTCCAAGTATAGGTAAAATGATCTTAGAGTTCAGCAACAAAACACCTTTGCCTCCTAATAAAATCAATTTTCTTTATTTCCTTCCCTTTCCTAATGCAACCTCTCTATTATCCAATGCTTTATAGTATTACCATCTTTCCCACCCTAGATGGCAGTAACAGCTTAGACGTAAAGGCAATACCTTTATAGATGTCAATGACTGCATTCTCTCTAGTGTTTCCTCTTTTATTCCTCCTTGGAAATCCATCATCAGATTTCTCAAGACTCAATATTTCCCTCCCAACTCTACTCAATCTAGGGCATGTCCCTTAAGAGAAAGATAAATTACCCAGAAAGGTATGTGGGGAAGAAAAGGAAGGGAATCCTTTCTATTTCCAGAACAATACAATAAATCAGGGAGGTCTACAGGCCCCACGGAGCAAGGAGAAAAGGAGCTGTGCAGGTGCCTCTCCAGGGCTCAGTGCTGGAGGAGAGTGAGCAATTCCAGATTTCGCTGGAAACCAGCCTGGGGATCAGAAAGCTCAGGGCAATCGGGACATGTGCAACCACACACCATCAGCCCAG